TGAAATAATGATCTGAGAAGCTTTCACCAAGAATGCAGTCAAAAAACTTCACGAAAAGTAAATTCAGCTTGCCTAAAACGCAGTTATTTTAGATGACCTAGGTTGACCTTGACCCTGACCTTGACATCTGTACATCGTCGAACAACATGTTCCATAATAGGTGGGAGGTAAGACTGGCAAAAAAGGCCGAAATCAAGGTGTCAAAAGCTCACAAGGCCCATAGGCCATAGCCAACGCAAGATGTTGAGAATCGGCCATTTGGGTCATGACATGACCTTAACCCTATTCCTGGCGGGGGGGGGCCTCAGGAGCCCCCCCCCCCCCTGAGGTTTTTTGGTTATATCTCCCAAACGCGTTGAGCTAGGAAGCTCAAATTTTCTGACTTTTCCTAAAAGGCTTCTACGCAACATGTCTGAAAATTTTGAGTTGATCTGACCTCAGGTCAGGTCACCAGAGGCGGTTTGGTGACGCTAACTCAGAAAAGTTTGCAATCACGCCAGAGCTAGAGTTTTTGACCGATCAATTTCTTCTCTTCAGGGTTTAGTTAGGGTACCAGTATGTGCAATTTGTATATCTCGGAATTTTGATATCGGTGACCTAAGGTCAGGTCAATTTCGCGACCTCCCCATTATAAGTCAATGGGGGAAAAATCAACTCCCTGTTTTTACCACTAAAACGGGTCGGAATGGCCCCATATACCATACATGACTTCATATACGATCAACCTTCACTACCTTGAGGTCTGTTTTGCTGTTGGGCAGCTGTGAGGTCATGTGACGTCATCAAAGGTCACCAAAGGTTTTTGGCCAATAACTCCGTACAGGAACAAGATACAGACGCGTGGATGGTCTCATTGTGTTCAGCTCGTCAAGACGCATCGAATGATATACATGATGACCTCGAGGTCACGTGACCTGAGGTCAACCTTTGACCTTGACCTTTCGAGGTCAACATATATATCATTCGATGCGGATTGACGAGAGGATCACGATGATGCCCTTAGTTTGTTCCTATCTTGACTAATTCGAAAGTTATTCGAGAAAAACTCTCTCCATATCTAGTGCCGCCATTTTGACTTTTTCGACCCCTGTGACGTCATCTTTGACCTGACCTGAAAATGACCTCAGTAAAAATTGTAGATCTTGGCCGTGCGTATCCGATGCCGTTTACCGCTTGTCGCTATCTTGCTTCGTTCTCGAGATCTCAGGGGGGGCCGAATCGGCCCCCCCCCGCCAGTTTCTTGTCCCGGCGGAGCCCGCCAGGAATAGGGTTAAAAACAAGGTCATATCTCATATTTCCGAAACCAAAAACCACAAAAACTTGAAATTTTTGGTGAACATCAAGAAAGGATAGAGGAGCAGCTATACCAAAAATCCGGCTTCTAGCTCTAAAAATGTTGAGTGCAGAGCAGAAAGACTACCTGGGGGAGTGGCAACCATCCCCATGCGCACCCTGTGAAACGAGACTCGATGATTTCTTAAACTCCCTAGTTATTTTGTAACAACCCTAGGTTCGTTGCATACTAACTAGGGAGGTTTCAACGACCCTAGTTTCGTTACAACGTCCCGGAACGAGCAGTTATTTTGTAACGTCCCTAGGGTCGTTGCAAACAAACTGATCGTTCAGGGAGGTTACAACCACCCTAGGGTCGTTGCAAACTAACTGAAATCGCATACTCCCTGTAACATATATAATGCGCTGAAGTCAGACGGTCAAGGTAAGAATATTGCAATCTGTCAATAATTTGGTAGGTGTGAGCAAATATGTTTTTGAGTTTTCACGTTCAATGCCTCTGACAGCTTTGATTAAAAGCGAAAATTTGGTTAAGATTAACCCTCGCCGGCCGAGGGGGGGGCGGGTGCCGCCCCCCCCCCCCATAGGGTTTTTTCGCGATAGCTCCGAACACGCTGGCGATAGAGAGCTGAAACTTGGCATACCTGACCTTTAATCCAAGCCGGATCTTTTGACACCAACCGCATTTTTGGGTCAGGTCAGGTCACTGACCTATGACGTCACAAGTGAACCTCTGCACGGTCTTCAGATGTCGCAACTTCGCAACGCCCTCACTGCCAGAGGAGATGTCACAGGGAAATGAAACTTGCAGGATCTAGTATCCATTATGAGTCCCACAACTTGTATATCTCGGATTTTTCCTAAAGGTCATATGAGGTCAGGTCATTTTCGTGACCTCACCATTATAAGTCAATGGGGAAAAATAAAAACTGCTATTCTGGCGCCGGGAACGATCTCCAACTATCTCAAGCACACAGAATCGTGATTTGATGCACTCCTTGCAAGGTTAGATGCGTCACTTTTGCAATGTTGACCTTTCGTGACGTCATTTATGACGTCATCAAGGTCATATTAGTTTTTCGTCAATAACTCTTGATCAAATTGAGCTAGCGAGTCGGGAAAGCCACCAATGGACTCAGGAAGGCCTGCCGAATCGAATGATATGCGACATGACCTCTTTCGACCAACTTCGTGACCTGGGGGTGCTGACCTGACCTTGACCTGAGGTCAACACCCCAAGTTGACCTGACCCGGACAAAAAGTATATCATTCGACGCGCCTGAGCGAGGCGAACACGATGCTGCCAAAATCGGCGCTCTGCGGCCGTTTTTTGCGAAGTTATTCACCAAAAACTGAACCGTACCTTGGGGCACTTGACCTGACCTCAGAGGTCACCGGTTGACCTAGGACCTTAAAATCGGGTACCAATCTCTGCGTCTCGTAACGGCGCACACGCTCGTTTTTTCCGCGACGCGCTAGCTCCACCAGGGGCGAAACGGCGAGGGGGGGGGGTCGTACCCGCCCCCCCCCCCCCTCGGCCGGCGCGTATGTAGAAAACCAATAGGTCCGGCGAGGGTTAAAATAGCCTAGACACTGGACATATGATCTGTGTACACTGTGTGTCCTTTCTCCATTCTAAGCTCAATTCTACTTCATTTGTCATTCTGCACGGGTTCCAGGTCGCCTCTCTACCCGTTCAGCGCCCGTTCCAGGTCCTATCCCTCTCCGTTCCCTCTCCGTTCCGGGTCCACTCTGCCCCGTTCCAGCTCCCCCCCCCCCACTCGTTCCGCGCCTTGCCGGCCTCTATAGCCCTCTCTCTCAGCGGCGATCCACAAGCGCGACCGGTCCCACAAATTGGCTGACATGCCTCGTGATCGATGCGCCATCATTTGAATCCGTGTGCACGGCTGTGCGCGGCCGCTCGGCGCGGCGACCGTTTTCAATTTTCGCGTATTTGGGAAAATGGGCCCCGTAGGAGGGGAGCGCGCCAATCCGTCATATTCGCCGCAGAAGCGTCACTGTTGCCGAAGCAACCCTTCCTGACACGCTGGGGTGACAATGCGCGATCACAACCAATAGCGAACACGGCAGAAGTATACGTAAATTATGGCAGATGTGCGACAAATTTTGTCACTCGTGGCCCGTGGGTCAAACAGATGGTGTAAGAGGTTGTAGGAATCATGCGAACGAGTGAAGCCTGGTCCTGTTTCTCAATGTTTTGTTTTATTTTCGGGCGTAGGTCCTGCTACTGGCACAATATAAGTGAGTCTACAGCAGTGCTGCCATTTGCCAATATCCATTGCCAATTTCCAGACCTTCTGCTTCCAGGGCCGCTTGGGCCTGACGTTACGCCCCCGGGCCTCGCACCGCGGGAGCCGGGCGACCCTTGAGAGGCGTGCCCGTAGAGGCGATTATTGGCAGATTCATAACGATGTTTGGTTCTTATTGGCTCGGTTTTTGCGGCCGATAATCGTGATGGATGGCCCGGCGGCGGACGGGGTGACAGGAAAGGAGAGGACGCAGATCTTCGCCCGGGGTGGGTCACGCGAGCACCAGAGCACGGGCGCAGGGGCGGGGTGACACATCAACGACAGATGAACCGACAATGACGATAGTGCGATTATCATTGCTGAGAAAATGACACTGATCATGTAGGTACGAACTGTAATGCGAATGTCTGGGTGATGACCTAAGAGGTAAAATGGAAATAAGGCGGAAGATAGAAAATCACTAAGGAGAAATAATACATTTTTGCTCGCAAACTTCTCGTGTTTCGCTTTACTGGACCGAGTCATACCATTTGTGAGTGTCTCGTTTCGTTTGGTTGCGTTCGGTCTCGAAAATTTCGTTGGGTAAGCGTGTCCATTTATCATCCAACATTTACGATCTCCTGCGATCTTCCATTTTCGCCTGAACATCACGAGCTGCAATCATTAAGAACATAATGGACAGTTCGAATGAAAAGGTCTCTTTCGGCTTGAAAAGGTCATTGCACAACACTGATATGATGGGACATGGCGAAGACTTTGGACTGTGCAGACTACAACGATGTGCGCAGCGGCAGAGACCGCCGTGGTGGGACGAAAATATCCCAATGGGACAGCCCTGAGCCCGCACTACCCCTCAAACGGTCAGCCCCGGGCCTGGTTGCTTTGTGACGTGATCACCAATCCGGGAGGGAAGCGTGAGGGGGATGCGGATGGGTTTGTCCAGGACAGATGTGGTTAAACAAGAAGCATGTTCCAGAACTTAAGTTTCAGATAGTGACAGATTTGATCCCCACGACTGACGCCGAAACACCAGATACTGCCGCACCGTGACCTGCAGCGCCACCTAGATATCGCGCTCGGGCGATGTCAGCGCTACTGCGGCAACAGGACAAACTAATCCACAGTCTTCAGCCTACAGGCTGATGTTCTTTGGCATATGTATTGATTCTTATTGGGTTTGCTTCTGATGGATTTCGTCCCATGCAACTAACTAGTTTTGCAAACATCTAGCGCATCGAGTGCACCGACTTATAAATAAACTTGAGATTATTTATACGTCCATTATTACCACTCAGACATTTTTTTCCTATTTCGAACGTAACTGGCAAAAATCCGATAGCCCAGGCCGGAGTAGCTTCATATAATAACTGGAGCGGTAGAAGAACTTTTAAAATACAATACGAACTATCAGTTTACTTGTGCATTAAAACACTGGAACGCTTTTAACGAGTATATTGTCGGGTAAATAATACATAATGCATTTCTAAAATATGCGGACGCGCCATGGAAATGTATAAATACGGACACGAAAAGAGCACACACAAAGACACACTAATGAGACACCAAAGCCTTTCAATCATCAGAATATACCAATTAGTTCCCTGAATAAAACGCACATTCTAGGACTCACGACACTCCGGGCCGCGCCCAAGTGCACTGAGGAAACTCTAGCGGCCGCCATGTCCCGAGTCCTGACCCTCTCCTTCCCTTTCCCTCCCCAGCTCTCTCCCTGATCCTGACCCTGACCCTTGACCCTCCTACATGACCCTCTCCTGACTCTCTCGCAGGTCACCAGCAGCAGGGGCACATGGAGTCGGCCCTGCTTCCGGTCGGCAGTGACACGGTACCCACGTGCACCCGCGGTCCCAGTGGCTCCACGGTCGGCCGCCGGCGCTCCGTCATACACGCGCAGGCCACCTCCCCCTCCCCGAGGGTGAACCGGCTCTCCCCGAGGTCGCCAACGCGCCTGTGGACGGCTCCGTCCATCAGGTTCATGAGCAGACACTCGAAGGCCTCGTTGACGCCGATGTCCTCCTTGGCGGAGGTCTCCAGCCAGCCCTGGAAGCCATGCCGCTGTACCCAGCGCTCCATGTACTGGGCGTTCCGCACCATGTCACTCTTCTCCTCCAGGTCGCACTTATTGGCCAGAAGCACGCAGGGGATCTTGGCGCCGCACGGCAGACGCACCTTGTCGTCCAGGTCGGCCTTCCACGAGACGGTGCTGAGCAGCGTCTTGGGCCGCGAGCTGTCGAACACGACGAAGGCGGCGTCGGCGTGCCGGTAGAAGGGCCGCGTCAGCTCAGAGAGGTGGTCCTGGCCGCTGACATCCCACAGGTTCAGCTTGATGGTGGTGTTGACCGTCCAGCCGATGGTCCGGGACGTGTAGTCGACCCCGATCGTCGCGTGGTGCCGACCGGTGAACTCATCGTACGCGTACCGACGCACAAGAGACGACTTCCCCGTGCACCGGTCGCCGATGAAGAGGATCTTGAAGACGGGCTGTGGGAACCCAGAGACGGTCTTTCGGCGCCGGGAGTGGTACTTTTCGAACCAGAGGCTGCGCGGACGGTCCTGGCTGGCTCCCTCCATCGCAGAGGAAGTCCGAAGGCCGCTGGTGGTGGTGGAGACGTGTGGTGATGGCTCGCTGGTTACGGCGTCCGCGGCTGGTGATGACTCGCTGGTTTCTCTGATGCTGATCGCTACGTCTCGTGACGCTCCGTTGGTGCTGATTTCGATGCTGGTGGCTGGTGACAGTTCACGGATGCCTATGGCTATGTGTGGTGACAGCTCGCAGGTGTTTGTTCCGACTAGAGGTCTGCACCGGCCGGCTGCAGCCGCGGCTGGCTGCAGCCCCACGGCTGTGGGCCGGGGCGGCTGCAAATATCTCCAAGAACACGGCTACGGCTGTGGCCACGGCTGTGAGATTTCAAGCTCAATCTTAAGTACTCAAATATAAAATTTTAAATCCTTAATCTCACATTCTGATAAGCAGTCTAGCCTGTAAAAATCATGCAAAGGATGCCCAGCAACATTGAAAGTGGTAAAGCCTTTGAAAACCTGTAATGGTTTTACCATTTGTTGTAGGGGAGTTTGCACTCTGGTACAGAATACTAATTATAGGTACCAATTGTTCCTTCATCATCAAGAGCTTGACAGTTTCAGAAAATGCAGCATGTTGCATTGTCACATCCCTCTCAAATCAATCTCACCTGGTCATTAGGAGAGCACCTTACAGCTATTGAAGACGAGCGTTAAATAATTCTTTCAGGTAATAGAAAAAGAAATCACGCCTAGGTAAAGGCAGGTAAAGGCTTCATAAAATATTATCTAAAATAACTCTTAGATGTATTTCTGGATTTTCGGCAAGTCCAATTACATAATATAAAACTGGCGCTTTATGTTCTAACTGGTGTGTGAGTGACCGCTAACAGAAAATGCTGATCAACGAAGCCAATGGAATTATATTATAGTGAACATGAACCTTACTTACGGTTAATTCACATGATGGTGAAAACCCTGAACACAAAATTCACATGACGGTGAAAACCCTGAACACAATATTTCTTACGCGAGCTGTTGACTTTACTAATAAAATGACGCCTTCTTCTGAAAATGTAAAAATTTGATACTTACTCTTTATTTGAGAGCAATTTTTTGACTGTATAGCATTATTATTTCTTAATTTTAATTTTTATGGCTGTTTATAGTGAAACAAAACAATTTATTGCCACTTCTTTGCTATTGACGTCATTAAAAACTCAAGTAAAATTTTTGATTAAAAGAGGTAATTGTCGCACGTCCTTGGGGATTTGAGCGAAGATCATTATTTGGAAAATCAAAATAGAAGAATGTTTTTCTTTCTTGGATGCTCACTAGTGTTTTGATGCCTTGCATATCAAATTAGTTTGAGACTTGCCCAGAAGGCTGCTTCAAGTCTGGCATATCACACCCCAGAAAATATGCAAGGTAAGAAAGAAGCAAGAGTTTTTACTAGACAATCGGAGTTCTATAGCCTTGAGACAATCACTGTTTGACAGTCCATCAACTTGAGTTTCATTTTCCATACCTAACATTGATAATGAAAAGCATCAGGGTCTGTTGTTCTGTCCTACAACCATGCTTCAGGATTTGGCATTAGATGTCCACACTGCTAGTGCTTCTATTCTGGTTCGTTGTTTATGTTTTCTGTTGATGTAGGTACCTACCCATCTTTCTTAACCCCTTGCAAGGGCTTGTGTAGGCATGCGTTGCGCATCAGGCTTCAGGCCTTCGGCCTAAAGCCAGATACACAACCACTTAACCTATGATGCTTCATGAGCTTGAGAATCTATAGCCCATTGCAATGTGCTTTTGGCTATATGTTTCAACTAAAAACAACCTATTATATACTATTTGGTTGCATTTCATTGAAAGTATCCACGGCCGGCTGACGGCTGGCTGCCCACAGTTTGCCACGGCTGTGGGCGGCTGTGGCTGTGGAGCCACGGCTGCGGGGCGGCTAGGCTGTGGAAAATTGCAGCCGTGCAGAACTCTAGTTCCGACGTCTGAGGTTACTGAGATCCCGCTGGTGCCAGTGTCCGAGGCCACCGCTGGTGACGCCTCGCTGGTGCCGGCGTCTAAGCCCTTTCCTGGTGACGGTCCACTGGTGTCGGCGTCCGAGGGCCTCGCTGGTGACGACCCGCTGGTGTCTGAGCCTGAAGACATGGCTGGTGACGGTTCGCTGGTGCTGGTGCTGCTAGGGAAATCCGACGATAGCCCGCTGGTGCCGGCGGACATCAATGGTGACACACTGGTGATGCTGCTGCTCTCATCAGTCACGACTGGTGATGTCTCTCTGGTGCTGGTGCCGGCCTCCATACCTGGTGAGTGTCCGTTGGTGACGGTTTCTGCAGCCCCAGCTAATCACTCGCAGAGCGTACCCCCCGTCCGCACTGGCCGTCTGCGCCGCACTGACCCGACCTGACCCGACCCGGCGCGAACCGTCCGCTGCCCCGGGGCACAGAGGTCAACGGGGACATCTGGCGAGGGCGAGACACTCAGACAAAGCTGGCCTGCTGAGCGCTCAGCCCTTGTCTCGCTCGAATCCTCGACCACAGAGGCCGCACTGGGAAAGGTGCGGCCTCATTCAGCCCGTGGCCGTGCACTATGAAGGGAGCTTGGATGGTTTAGTTTTGCAAATATCTCAAAAGAAAGGCTTATGGCACACATTTTTATTATACTTTCCAGACATGCTGGAATTAAATCCATTTTATATTTCTCGAGAAGAGGTCATTAGCCTGGTCGGATTAGCTGACCTTTTGTGACTCAAACATAAAATGCTCACGAACAGCAAGAACACGTTTTTAAACACTTACTTTACCTTATCTACGAAATATAACTAGCGCCTAGCGTATGTACATGTAAATGCCTTCAATAGCCTTAACTTTATTTGTAAACCAGAGCTCTAAATGTCTTGATATACGACTTCTGGGACTAAAGGGAATTAGAGGTCGCCAGATGTTGTGAATCAGAGCCTGCAGCAGCACCCGGCCCGTGTTCCAAATCCAGCCCATTATAGGTCAGTCAGAACCAGGTCGAAGACACAGGCCATGCAAGGTCATGTCAACAAGTCAGCTAAAGTAATATCAACTCAAGAACTATATAAATGTTCGCCCTAGCCACATCAATTTGGCAATATCATGATTGTTTGAACCCAACGATTACTGCGAGTGACAGGAAGAAAAAAGTAGGTAATTCAAACGAAAAACGCTAAATTGTGGGTAAACGTCATGATTCCCGAGTTTTTTTTAACAAAAATGGCATCTGTTTAAAAATTATAAAATCACAAAAAGATGTTCCTACACACATGTTGTACCTCAAGGCCATTAGACTGTCAATAACCAGTAAAATGAATTATCAGACTGCTATCTAAAAACTTTATATTATCATTTCATATTTTCCAAAATCTTGGACTAAATCTTGGCAATTGCTCGAGATTGCTTCACGATCATGATAGGTAGGTACATGCATTTTGTAAATTCTTTTCGACCAAAAACGTACTCGTAAGAAAAAATGGACATCACCATCGAGCTCCACGCTTAAAAGTATTTATCCATAAATGTTTAATACGGTTAATAAGGCATCCTACGTAATACGCATTTAGCCCATTAATGACCAAGCATATAAATACGGCGATATTTGATATTTCGAATGGTGTTCCGAAGGTTTTCGACGTCACTGATTCCAGCTGTGGCATTGGTTTTACCCTAACAAATTTCGAACTTGGTGAAAAATTATGTTCCCATTTGGGAACATTGGGCACAAATGGGGGGTAAGAGGCGTATGCAGTATGCGGATAGAAATGAAGAAAGCAACAGTAGAAACACATATTATACAACGTTTTAAAGAAGGGCTTTTTCTTCTTTTTGACCTTGGCACTATCCACAATGAGATCGTGGTCTCACTTCACTGATCGACCCTTGTCAACACACATTTTTGACACCCAAAGTCGTTTTATTCTACTCTTACGGTAGAGCGAGACATTTAGAACGATAAATCACAAGCCAGCGATATCAGTTTTCCATCCATCACCAAAGTGTCTCACCTGTCGAAGCGAGACATCTCAAGCCTGTGTCGCGCACAGTGCCCGTTGCTCGGGATTAGTCAGCAGTGTCAGAGCATCAGTGTATACTACATATGCGTCTGCAGTGCCATACCAGCACCGTGGCGGCAGCCTAGGTGTGGTAGTTCTGGCTGCAGTGGTTATGCAGTCGTACTTGGCAGATGCTACACATTGTACGCGTATTTTTTTTTTTTTTGACACAGCTTGCAGCGGCCTTGAGTGGCAGCCGGGACGATGAAGTGGTTTTGTGCAGTCCGGGAGACCACCGTCACCCGGCCGCTGCTGGATCCTGGTCCGCTGCCGGTGACGTTTGGCGGACATGGCTCTTGTCTCGTTTTTTTTTTTAGGAGCTCCAATGCGACCTCGCGAGTGAACACCAGCTGGTCCACACTTCTCCCGGTGCAGCTGCGGTACATGCGCCAGCTGGCTACTCTCAGTAGACCGAATGCGTTGGTGACGAGCGTGCCGTACCATTTCTTCCACCGGATCACAGGCCTGTAAGCCGCCACCGCTCCGTCCACTAGGTCTACGCCACCCATGTACTGGTTATATTCGTATATGAGGTTCGGCTGCTTGACCGTCACCTTTTTTCTTTTCGTCACCCGACCAGCGCTGCACGTCTTTGAGTGGGCTGATGCCCGAGTGATTTGTGACCACTGTCACTGCCCTGTTGTCTCTTCACTTCACGGCCAGCACCCCGTTAGTGGATTGGTACCAATGCTGTCCCCTGGGCGCCTTTTCAGCAGTTTTGTTGTCAGGCAGGAGACACTTCTTCAGCCTGTTGTCGCGCACAGTGCCCGTTGCTCGGATGCCTCTTTGACGGAGAGCTATCATCAAGGCATACGACGAGAAGTAGTTGTCAAAGAACACATGGTGCAAGGCAGGCGTCTGAAGACATTCCAGGAGCCGGAGGACGACATCTCCGCCCAGCCCAAGAGACTCGCACCCTGCTCTGCCCTCACCTGGCCCAGCGTTCTTGACTCGTCGATACCAATGACCCTACTCCATTCGCTGACATTGGCGCCGACGGATATGACACTGGACTAGACGACGCTCTATCATCCGAGCATCAGTAACGTGAGCGATACTGTCACTTGACACACCGGGTGTAGGACCTAGCGTGAGAGCAGAACCAGCCAGAGAGGACGTGCAAATTGAGTCAGTGGAAATTGAGAACAAGTGAGAGTGAGAAAGAGAGGGAGGGAGGAAATGGGAGATGGAGAGAGAGAGAGAGAGAGAGAGAGAGAGAGAGAGAGAGAGAGAGAGAGAGAGAGAGAGATGAGAGAGCGCGAGGAGAGAGAAAAAGAGCTTCGCTTTTGCCTTCCAATGTCAGTCCATTATGAGCTGACATGCCAGTGGATGTGCCTAATGTTCCCATTTGGGAACATCCAAATTTTGGAAGTCCCCGACGCTTTTGTGGTGAAGCATTTCTTTTGATATTTCTCCCGTACAATTGAACTTATTGTTGAAGCATTACTGGAAATTATAAGGAAATCTATCAAGAAATCGATTTTAAGGAAATTATTTTCTTGATGAAGGTACAGTGTGGCAAAAAAGGGCTATTTCAAAAATCAAGAGAGGTGCTTTATAGGGGTGAAATTCAAGTTTTTTAGGCTGCTAAATTTTGTTCAGGGCTTCAGATGCCAGAACCAATATTCATAATCGCTGTGCAATCCCAGGATCAGAGCCTAGAGCCAAAATTGTCGATGTTCCCAAATGGGAACATTGGGCACTAATGGGCTTTAAACACCAACTACGTAGTACGTACGCATAAATTTCTCGCCTGCCTGTCTCGGTGTGCATAAGGGTGTTTGCCGTGTGTCTTGGTAAATCCAACGTAAATCTAGCATGTTTCCTTGAAGCTGTTTTTCTCATCCATAATCCTATGCGGTGACGCCACAGCTTTGAATGAAATGCTGCACAAAGTGCGTAAATCACTGGCAAACAACCTCGCTGTTGATTGTGAAAGCGGGGTATGTGCTCGGGTGGAAGCCTCAGCGGCTCAGCAGCAGCAGCAGTCGCGTAGCGGTCGTCCGGCAGTGTGGAGAGGAGAGATTTTGAGTTCATAATCATAGCTTCCCAGGTGAGAGGACTGGGCAGTGGGCACGATCACGATTCTGCAATCTTCAGAACTGTTCATTGATCCTGTCCAGGTCAATCGCATTGGCTTTTGGGAACTGCTAAGTAATACCTATAATCAAAATACTTAGCGATCAATTTCTATGAATTATTATTTGAGTCCACAAGTTATGCCTAATTCATGACTGATAGATAGGTATATGCAAAAACATACATATATTATACCTAGAAAGCAAGATATTGTTTGTTGGGAACGGGCAGCGCCTGTGGGTCCTGGTGATAGACTGGTAAGCGCATTTTCCCATTTTTTTCGGTCTTCTTCAGCCTGTTCACGGAGGCAGTCGTTGGGCTGGAGCAGATGTTTCTATTACATACAATTACATAGCGTTCAGCCCTGAGAGACATAATTGAAAACAAAAAACATATACACACAACCAACCAACCAACATGGTCATCTCAACACAGCCTTCAGTGTTCTACACGTGGAACCGTCGGCTTATTAAAAGCAAACAAGAAAACAGAAAATAAGTCACAAATGCAGTGTGACTTGTGAGAAACAAAACCGTTCTTTCGCTCCTAGCGACACGGCGGTGACTGCCCTTTCATTCCGTTTATAACAATAACTTTCCCGAGCAGTATGCTACGTCAGATTTATGGATAAATAAACGAGTCTGCTCACAGACGCCCGTCGAGACACATCATGTTATACTCGGCCTGTTCATGGACCAGGATGGTATCCAGATGTCGCCAGCCCCCCCCCCCTCCCTTCCCCTTGTCCCCACCCCAGATCAAATGACCAGCCGGCTCCAGTCGGTTACTGAGGCCTGTGAGCTGAGGAACCCTGTGCTAGCCGCTAGGCTTGGAAAGACAGGCAACTGGTGAGTGTTTACGGTTGTTAGGGAGTTGACGTGTTATCTCATCCATGACGTAGCTATGTTCTGTAATCCGTATTGTTTACAGTGCATCGTCAAATACTTTGCCTAATTATTACTGATGGATTGTGGCTTTAGGCCGCGCCGACTGCCAATGATGTTTAGGTATCTTTCGTTTGACCCATGTCCCTTATCCTGTACGAGGGGGTATCGAAAAGTTCTGATCATCACCATGAATTAGATATGATAGAAATTTGATTTTTTACATGATGTTCATGACTCCTTTACAAGTCACCACACATGACCGCAAACTTATTGCATCGTTTCTTGAGCTGCCTCAGGCGGTCATTGTAGGACCTTCGCACTGTCCCGTAAATCACTGCTCCACAGGCGCGGATCCAGGGGGGGCGACGGGGGCGGCCGCCCCCCCCCCCCCCGCCATCCGAAAAAGGCGCCCATATCCCGCGGCAGAGAGGGCGCCCCGAGCAGAAGAGCGGCGACACAGCAAAGGTTCAGCAGAAATAGGGCGCCTCCAGCAGAAGTTGGGCTCACCAAGCAGGAGAGTGACGCCCAATTGCCTATTCCCAGCAAATGAGAGTCGCCCCAGCAGCAGATGGGCGCCCCCAGCAGAAGAGGGCGTCTCGTTACAAGAATATAAAATACCTTCTGTTCAAGAGGGGCGCCCCTGGCAGCGGAAGGGCACCCTTAGCAGGAGACGTGTCCCCCTGAAGAGGAGCGACGCCCCAGAAAAAGGAGAGAGGCGCCCCCATTCCGAGAAGAGGGGCGCCCTGACAGCAGCTGGGCGCCCCAGCAAAAAAGGAGCCCCATAATAAGAAAATGGGTGCCACTGGCAGAAGAGGGGCGCCCCAGCAGAAGAGAGGGGTCTCCAGCAGGAGACGGGCGCCCCAAGCAGAAGAGGGGCGCCCCAGCAGAAGAGAGGCGCCACAGCAAAAGTTAATCAGAAATAGGGAGCCTCCAGCAGAGGTTGGGCCCGCCAAACAGGATAGGGGTGCCCCATTGACAATATCCGGCAGAAGACAGACGCCCCAGCAGAAGATGGGCGCCCCCGGTAGAAGAGGGGCGCCCCATTACAAAAAGAAAAGGAGTATATTCTACTAGGAGGGGCGCCCCTGACGACAGCGGAAGGGCAACCCCAGCAGAGGGGCGGTGCCCCAGTAAAAGGAGAGGCGTGCCCCGTTCCGAGCAGCAGAGGGTCGCCTCGCCCCAGAAAAAAAAAACAGGAGCCCCATAAGAAGAAAAGGGGTGCCTCTGGCAGAAGAGAGACGTTCCCCGCAGTGGAAGGGCGCCCCCACAAGAGTGGCGTCTCCAGCAAAAGAGAAGTGCCCCCTGCAAGAGAGGGGCACCCCACCAAAAGTTGGGCAGAAGTGGGGCGCCTCCAGCAGAATTTGGGGTCGCCCAACAGGAGAGGGCCGCCCTATTCACAGTAGAAAAAAGACTCCTCAGCAGCAAAGGGGCGCCCTAACAGAAAAGGTGCACTCGTAGTAGAAGTAGGACGCATCAGGAAGAAGAGCGGCACTTCTAGCAGAAGATGGGCGTCCCAGATAAGTGGGCCGCCTACAGCAAATTGGTCGTTCTTAGAAGGAAGAAATGAGGCGACTTAAGCAAAGTGGGTCTCTCCATAATGGATTGGGCGATCCAAGCAGAGGTTGGGCGCCCCCGGGAAGTGAGGCATACCAGCATAAGTAAGACGCTTCCAGAAAAAGGAGGGGGCATCACCGGGAGAAGAAGGACTGTACCAGTAAATGGAGGCCACCTTTTTGCTAATATCTTTTGCTAGGGTAGCGGTGCCCATCTACGACTTTTAACCCGTGCCGTGCTGGTGGTCTGAGTTTTCTGTGTCCTGCTGGGGAGGGGGGGGGCACACTCCCTCGTCTAACTCTGCTCCTGGGCCGCGTAGTGACACGCGATAAGCGGCATTCGAAAGATCGTCAAAAAACAGGACGAAAACAAAACGGTCATTTTTTTAGATCAGGTCGAATGTCAGGTCACCAGAGGTCATCAAAGGTAAAATGTTGCCTGTTTCAACATTTTTCCGTTTTCGAAGCAGCGGCACATAACTCGGAAACCAATAGAGCTATAGCGCCGCAGAAAAGCGCATTCGATAGCCCTTTTAAAGGTGTTTCTGCAAGCTGCGCTCAGATTTGACCTCAGGTCAACGGTTTAGCCTTCAGAGGGCAAAAGACCCTAAAAATAGCCTTTTTACGAACAATGTTTTCCTGCAATAACTTTTGACTCAAGAGAGTCTCGACATTATGTTTGCCAGCATTGCGTTTCTGTCGTCAAGACACGTCGAACAAACTAAAGGTTGACCTTATGAAAGGTAATTTTGAGAATTTGACCTCAGGTCAAGGTCATGACCTGACCGGGAAAAGTCATGCTGCATAGCAGTCGATGCGCATCGTCGAGCTGAACACAGCTGAGGTGTTTTTATCTCTCTAGCTTGAATCTATCAAAAGTTATCTAAAAAAAAAACTGCTGCGGACACTTCATGACATGGGATGACCTCTGGGACATAATGAGTGGTCACACTAGGTGCAATGTTCTTATTCAGTGTGTTAATTTTATATGTATCCCAATGCTTGATATTGTCTAGAATGGCGCTCGTCCAAAAGAGATGCCTTTCAGTTTTCTCCCAAAGACTTAATTATACCTACCTACCTAATGGAGACGTCGCACAACTGACCTGACCTTAGGTCACAGATATCGAAATTCCGAGATATACATTTCATGAATAGTGTTGCTTTCATCAATCGCTGAAAGGTTCAAACTTCAAAGCAATCATTCATTCGGTATAGCAATGGTATGAATGGCATTTGATGGCGATGGCAATGGCATTTGAACTTTTTCTTGGGCTAGGTCACTTGGCATAACCTGGTGACCTGACCTTCCATCACCCGCGTCAGACATTTTTACAACATGTGCAAAAAAGATGCATGATAAGGTATGCTGAAAATGGCGGCGCTGCGCGCAGCCGTTTTTCAGATATTTGCGAAAACCTGAGGGGGAGCGCGATAACGCCCCCTAGCACGGCGCGGGCTTTTAGCTCCCGATTTTGACGGTTTGGCGCCCCCTTTGTATGGAGCGCCCCCGGATTCCCAGGTCGCCCCTACTTCGACTTGCCGCCCCCCCCCCCCCTCCCGAAAATTCCTGGATCCGCCCCTGCTGCTCCACCTCATCAATGACGTCATTTCTGTCCTTAACCCTCGCCCGTAAACGGCGATCTGCCACCTTCGCCCATGCAGGGGGGGGGGTTGGTGCGACCCCCCCCCTTGGCGTTTGAAAACGGAGCGTCGTAGAGCTTAGCGGAAAAGACCAACGGATTGCTCTCGCCGAGATCTCGCGATTGGTGGTATATTTTTTGGTCCTAGGTCAACATTTGACCTACTTTTGACCGGTCAAAGGTCAAATTTTCGGAAAAATAGACTTTTTTCAACTTTCGGCGGCGATTGCGGCAAAACGGTTGGAGATATCGACTTGAAACCTTCACTACCGTGTTCCTTGATCAATTCTCTATCGTTTGGTATGTATTTCGTTTCCCTAGCTCTAAAAATGGCGCGTTGGGAGCGCCGGAAGTCGGCAAGGTCACAGTCGGCGGCAGAAATTCGAAAAATCAAAATTTAACTTTTTGAAATCTGATTGTATTTTTGGATTTGGGAGGTCCATTTGCTCCCTATAGAAGCTAATATTGCTGCATATTCCCATTGAGGTGACAAGAATTAGCAAAATAGTGGTTCGGGCGCTTTTCAAAAATAGTACCGGACGCTGTTCCTCTTGTGACGTCATAGCTCCGTGACCTGACCTGACCCGGTCAAGTTTCTTATACCATATGATAGCCAATACTTGCCCCAACATGCATGGGAAGTTTCATCACGATCCATCAACCGATCTCCGTACCATCGGCAGGAAACCTCGGGCGTTGGCACTCAGTTTGTGAAAATCCGGCCGGAGGCTGTTCCCTTTGTGACGTCATAACTCCGTGACCTGACATGACCCGGTCAAATTTTTTTTTATCAAAAGATGCGCAAGGTTTGCTCCATCAGGTACCCAAAATTTGGCGGCGCTGCGCGCCGCCGTTTTTGCACTATTTCCGAAAAACCTCAGGGGGGGGGTTGCACCAACCCCCCCCCCCTACATGGGCGAGGGTTAACTCACCGGTCATACTGTGGATTCTTCATCTCCCGTAACAATCAAGAGTCAGTTAATACCCGGTCAGGTGAATTTCTTAGATGCGGTAGGATTTAATGTCCACATCATGTTGTTTCTTCAATCGCAGTTCAGGACGAATGGGCGGGGGCGATGTCGGTGCGGATAAAACATCTTTCTTGGGCTTTTTGGCGGCCATTCTGCTTGAGGCCATCTCGCAACTTCTTCAAAAGTGTGCAGTAGTGCTTGCTTATCATTATCCGACCATCATCAAGACAGTCGGTAATGACTATCCTACACCAGATCCACAACACTGATAGCATCGACCTTCCATATCGGCTTCTGCATCTTCGCCTTTTAACCCGCGCCCGGCTGGGGGTCCTGGATTTCCACGCCCTGCTGGGGGGGGGGGGGTGTTTGAACACCCCCCCCCCTTGTAACTCGGCTCCTGGGCCACGTAGCGATACGCGGAAGGCGGCGTTCGAAAGAGCGTCAAAAATAATGACGAAATCACTTCGGTCAATTTTTTGGTCAGGTCAAAGGTCAGGTCACCAGAGGTCATTGAAGGCAAAATTTCGCCGATTTCCAGGTCGAATGTCGAAAATTTCCAAGAAGCCAACGCATAACTCGGGAACCAATAGAGCTACAGCGCCGCAGAAAAGCGCATTCGATAGCCCTATTAACGCCCTTTCTGAGTAATTCTCTCAGATTTGACCTAACGTCAACGGTTTTGCCTGCAGGGGGCAAAAACTGCAAAAATAGCCGATTTTTTCGGAAACAGTTTTTCTGCAATAACTTTTGACCCAAGCCCTCTACGAGCTTATTTTTACCGGCATCGTGTTCCTCTCGTCAAGACGCATCGAATGAACTATAACTTGACCTTGAAAGGTCAACTTGAAAATTTGACCTCAGGTCAAGGTCATGACCTGACCGGAAAGGGTCATATTGCATATCAGTCGATCCGTATCGTCGAGCTGAACACATCTAAGGCGTTTTCATCGCTCTAGCATGCCTCTATCAAAAGTTATTTGCGAAAAACTGATAGATACCATTCGTGACCTAAGATGACCTCAGGGCATAAACAAGGGTCACGAACACCATTTTCATGTTCAGTGTGTCTAAACCACTTGTAATTCGGTGTTTGGGAGTGTTTATAATGTCTTTCGTCCAAAAGAGGCGCATTTCAATTTTCTCCCATTGACTTATAATGGGGAGGTCGCAAAATTGACCTGACCTTAGGTCATCGATATCAAAATTCTGAGATATACATTTTGTACATACTATTGCTCTTAGCGATCGCTGAAAGTTTCAAAGCGATCGGTCACTCGGTGTAGCTATGACAGACATTGAAACTTTTTATGAGGTGAGGTCACTTCAAGTGACCTGGTGACCTGACCTTGAATGACCTTGGTCTGAAATTTTCACAACATGTGTAGAATTGATGTATGATAAGGTGTACCAAAAACGGCGGCGCTCCGCGCCGCCGTTTTTTAGATATTCGCGAAAAACCACAAGGGGGGGTGTTCAAACACCCCCCCCCCAGCAGGGCGCGGGTTAATAAGGACAGATGTGCCGTGCTTAAACTTCTTGATCATCTTTTTGTCTCTGGATCATACACATAGACCCAGCATTCGTCACAAGTCATCAAATGATCGAAGCTGTCTTCAATTTCCTAAAAAAAAGACCTACCGGGTGTTCATTAATGAATGGAATAAAGTAGCTACGTCACGTGATAACAATAAATCACGTGAGCGCATTTTTTTCCTTGTAAATATGAAACATAGGCTTTATCATTTTTTAATACATGATAACTTTAATCACAGCGTTATCCAAACGCTTATGAATGGCTCTGGTTTCGAAGAGCCCAAATCGGCACTTCAAGACAAACTCGCCGTTCAATTATGAACTAGCGGGCTGGGTTGTGGAGAACTGTGCCGGGTTGGAAAGTCTTACCGTAGTTAGACGGGCTTTCCGCCTTAAGCTCTCTCCTAGAAAACCAGCAGCAATACCAAATACCACATCTGAATGCTTTTCAGCGTTTAGTGGAGAGATTTAGGATGGTTGCAGCGACACGGCCATGTGTGCGCTCCGGACGCCAGCCGATGACCCCTGGTGAAATGGAAAAGGTCAAGGATTTCTTCCGGAAAAATGCCACAGCTCATGCTCGGCAGGCGTGCGAAGAGCTTAAAATGTCCATTGGAAAGGTATGGAAGATCCTGATTCTGTCATGATTGGCCTCCCTCGATCGAAGTTCAACGATCGGATCATCTCGCGCGGAGGCACCCATCTGCACTGGCCCGCATACAGTCCCTACCTGTGCTGCCTGGATTTCTCGTTCTGGACCCAAGCTTTGAATCGCGTGGTAGAATCGGAGCCGGAAACAATCAAAAAACTGAAAAAGGTCGTGGAGGACTTCGCCAGAACATAAGCGAGGAGCAGATGAGGAAGATGGTCCGGCACACACAGCGCCGGGCAGAGCCGTGCGTGGCGGAGTGAAGGTGTTACTTTGAGCACTTCCTGTAGGAGACACAAGTGGCAAGCGGTGATCGCGATGATGTCATCATAAATGATAAACCCTCTTGAAAATGCATTGTGTGATTTGATAACGTGAGATGAAAATATATCTTTCTGGTGCCTACCTACTTTATTCCATTCATTAATGAACACCCGGTCGGTAGTTTTCATTTCGAAAGGCCAAGACGCATTTTTCTCTTGAACAAAGTAGACACGCGAACTTCTAAGCGGGCTGACTCCTTTATCGTCTATAGTTCTTCGCTGATAATATTTTCAGGCACTGCCAGCATTGAGACCTTTCTGTTGCACAGTCATTTGAAAGGCCACACGACGATCTGTAAGGATGAGGTCCTCCACTTCCTTCACAGTCACCACCTTGTCAGTCACTGGTAGTCACTCACTTCTTGACTCCCCTGCAAGGGCCATGCAACCAAGTTGAAAATTATTTCTTCATTTTCGGTAAGTGCATGAGATGGGCTTTCCTCGCCATAAACTAATTTCACGTTCTTGATGTATTTTCTCAGTGTGATACCGTTTCAAATGCATTAGTTGGATGACGGTTCGGTCCTCAATGGGCCAAATACTCATCTTTTTTACTTCTAAGTCTCTCCTACATAAGATAAAACCACTTCTCAGGATTCTCTTTGCGGGAGCATTGTTCTTAAGAACCAAATATAATACCAACCAAAAATAATCAAAATCGGTCTATCTATATTACTATTTGAGGAGGGCGTAGTTTCTGTCTATTACGAAGGTCGCGACATGGTGCTACGTAGCGCGGGTTACAGATCACACCGTTGCACCTACCGCGCTGAAATTTGCGCAAGTTATAGAACAAGGATGGACAACGTGCCTTTGAGCGGTCTCGACTCGATCGGATCGATAGCGAGCGCGTGGCGCGTGCCCAAAAAGTGCAAATTCGCGTCATAGACTTGACATGTATAAATCGGCTGGCAAAAATGGGCGAAAATGGCTAAATTTGCCCGACACGGGTCCGTTCCCCGTGCAATATCTCGGTAACCGTGCGCCCGATCGGCACGGGGAAAACAGCATCGTGTAGAGAATCGAACGGGCAATCGAATAGTGTGCGGTGCAGGGGTGGCACGCGCCACGTGCAAGTGTGAGGGCAATTTCATTTCAAAAAGTGCCATTTTAAACGCATTTTGGATTTTATTTTATTTTCCCGTGACCATCAGACTGAGAGAGTTGAAACAACGTCAATTGCCAAGAGAAATGTACCGCCTCTCATGGAAAAATTGTGGACAGCTAATTGATCAAAAACAATGTGGAAAAAATCGCTGAATTAAAATGGTATTTGTCCATAATGTGCCACTAAAAAGATACACGGGATTTGCTGCTTAACCTGATACGCTTGACAATTGAAAATGCTATCATTAGAAAGAGCATTCAATTCTCTCCAAGATCCAATCATCACGTTTGCATGACAAGCAACAGTATTCTTAAAAATATAAATGTTTTAAACCTCTGCAAAACGATTTTTAGCGAAAATTATCTACGCCTTTCATTTGTCTTAAAACTACGCACCTCAATTATAAAGCACATTTGACAGATTCTGAAGTGGAAAGCATGCTTATCAGACACGGGCACCTCGATGCGGTGGATATTTTTTCCACAAACCAAAACGTTTAGCCGTCAAAAAACAATCGACCGAAATGGATAGATAACCCAACCGACACAAGAACAACCGAACACCCGCCGATCGAAAATATCCCTTTTCGCGTTGCGGAGCACGCGGGTCACCCTAGTATCTTCTATGTGATGATCAGAACTTTTCGATAGCCCCTCGTAGTACCCTGTACCTACCTACATATTGTTAGCGACACAGTGCCTTTGTCAATATTGCAAGCGATTCAGATAGTATCCAGTGCACTTGTCAAGACTTTGCGTCACTCTAAAGCCGGCTGACCATTGATTATTTTTTGGCTCGTTGCCAGTCAACGATCGTTTGCCGTTAGGTGAGAAACTCGATGTAATTCCTAGCCTTTGGGTGTGTCACTGTGTAAGGTATTGATTTGGGCGGTCGGTCATTTTTTCATGCGAAAGCATAACAATGCAGCTCTGCCAACAACTTGCGAGGTCTCATTTGCCCAAGCACAAATAATGCGGCACACTTTGGAAAGCAATGTTCAAACGTTCGACGAACATTTTGTAGCGCCCTTTATGAATGAACAATTGAACACCAAAATTAGAAACCATTTTACATGCGAGTACCTAATGTTTCATGGCGTGAATTGGCACGAACGAGTGTGTTCTGAAATTCTGATTAACCATATTGTTTCCTTACAGATTAGACATCTCACAGAACAGAACAACAATGACTGACTCGGAGGTGATCGTAAGGAAAGCGGTCAAAGAAGACTGCGAACAAATTCTTGGCCTCGTCCGGGTAAGTGGATACCCCGGTCCCATATAAATAATACGAGATTATGAAGAATCGAACAAGACAAGTCCTGTTTACCCGTTGGTTGTTTCACCAATGTCACAAAGACCCATCTCTGACAATGAAATGGTATCACTTTCTCTAGTGACCTCCCCACTGTCCTCTATTGACCAATTGACCCGAACACCCTCTCTCCTCCACACAGGAGCTGGCCGAGTACGAGAAAATGCCCGAGTGTGTCGAGATGACGTTGGAGACACTGCAGAACGACGGCTTCCCCTCCAACGGCCGTCCGCCCGCCTACACGTGCCACGTGCTGGACCGCGCCGGCACCCTGCTCGGCTTCGCACTGCACTTCTTCACCTACTCCACGTGGCAGGGCCTCTCACTGTACCTGGAGGACCTCTACGTAACCCCCGGAGCACGGGGTACCGGCCTGGGCAGGAGACTAATCGCTCAGGTAGCCGGCTGGGCCGTGGACTCCGGCTGCGCGCGGCTGAACTTCTCAGTGTTGAACTGGAACGCCAGTGCAAAGGAGTTTTATAAGAGGATCGGTGCCGATAATCTGTCTGAGAAGGAGGGCTGGGAGGCTTACCGGGTCAGCGGTCGGGCGCTGAGCGCACTGGCCGACCTGGCTAGGAAGTGATTGGTGCGATTTTTACCGATTACCGATGGTTCGGTGGACATGGAATATGGATCAAAGCGGTTCGCATTGAACAGTTCGACATCAGCCTGTTGAAATAACAATTCAACATCAACCTATTGAAATATATTACGAAGGTCAATGACACACGACTCTCATCGATGATGAATTCCACTTAGGATATCGACTACAGACTACACCAGCGAGATCGTTTAACGTTTACCGTTCATTAAAGGGACCCTCCCACCTTAACATTAGATTTGAGTTGAGATAGCCAAAATGGGGTCCCTGGCTCACAATTACCGGTTTCGGCACTCACAACATCGAGAAATGCCTTAAATCGGAAATATTGAATTTCAAAATTGCAGCATTTTGATTCAGAGGGGCTAATGCATAGGAATACCCCTCTGAATGTGTGACGTCAGCGTAAATATCTTACGATTTTTAAATGTTTGACTAAAACGTTTTGTAGCAAGCGGTGGTATATGCCGCTTTGCGCGCAACAAATGCCGCACTTTCAAATAAAGTCGCTATAGGAACAGCGGAGATCCTAAAAAGTAAACAAAAGTAAAAGTCTAATATCTTGAAAACCGGTGAATATTTTTCGATGAAATTTGGTAGATATTCGTTTTTGCTCTTTCTGAACCGAGCGACATCACTTTCATGCCTATTCATTAACTTTTTTGAAGGTGGGAGGGTCCCTTTAATCGTAGGCTGGTACTCAGCGTCTTACATCTTCGCCCAGTTGCCGGGACTTTCGTTAAAGGGACAGCTTCATGCTCGTTTATATTACACCAAAATATATTCCCCGCAAGCGCATACCAACCGACAAAACACTGGACAAGAATTCGCCGTTTACTTGGGTATCTCCGGTTTCAATTTATTTCGAATTCCAGTTCATTCCTCTGGCACCTGTCAACGCATGGCTAAATTTATCCACTCCTCATCGCCCCTACTCTTTACGGTATAATGATGAAATAAAAACTGTGTCTCTCTCTTCATGGCAACGTCGTCTCTCGTTTTGACATTTTAGCAGCTAAAAGGTATGCTGCTCGATAACTGGGCCAGTTGATCTCAGCCTCGTTTCGTAGCCAGTAGATGGCTCTGTCGGCGCGCTAACAGGTGTCGCTGGCGTCTCGTCGCGCCGACGCGAGCGCCAGGCGGGCGCGTCCCTGAGCTCTGAAGTGCCGGGAGCGCGCCGCAGTAACACAACCATTCGGCCGGAAGGCGACCAAACCATTCGGCCGGAAGGCGACCACACGCACACCACAGTCGCACGCGCACGCACACCGACACACGCACAGTCCACCGCGCGACGCGTCTCCACCCGCTAAAACGACGCAAAGAACGACGCGTATAAAAGGGTCCGCCGGCCGCGGGGGCCGGCAGGGGAGGGGCAGTCCCAGAGTCGGCGCCGTCGGCGCGTGAGCCGCCGCCACTCCATGGGACGCCCGTACATGCTTCACAGGAAAGGACAGCTACAAGAAGATGAGAGAAAAAAGACAGAACGGCCCTGTCATCGACATAAGTGGCAGGGTCTACGCGAGGCTGTACAATTAGGAAGGGCGCAACCATTCCTCAGATTTACAGGAGCGCCAATAGGCCGCGGCTACCCGCCGCTGCACGGTCTCCACTCACCCACTCTAACCACTCACTCCCACACTCTCTCCTCGCGGAGTACAACGCAGTTAGCTCATAAATACCGATACAAAACTCAACATGGCAGCGGATCTCGCTCTCGGTCCACTGTCTCTCTCTCCCTCTCTCGCTCCCACGCTCTCTCGCAGTCACGCCGCCGCCCCCCAGCGTCCAGACACACAATGCACTAGTCAATGGGTAGTCTACGGCACTCGACTAGGTCATTGATGACTTGGGACCAGTGGCATCGGCACACCGCTAGCCGGACCTGCAACGCACACACAGAAAACACGTCTCAGTCGCGGATAAAAGACAGACGGATGACATAGTATGTTGTTAAGAGTACGCCAAAAACAGGCTCAATGGAAGTTTAAAGTTTTTTTTTCAAACGAAAAGACATTGTTTACTGTCTTCAGTGTTTCATGTTTCATTTTAATTTGATAAGTAACTTCAATAACGACTTATCTTACAGTCATGCAGCTCAGAAAACTACGCAGTACGCACCATACACCTTATCCATCCCTGCAGTGACAACAACAAATACCCTTACCCAAACTGGTGTATGTAAATCCCTAACAAACAGCCACCAACCCCGCCCACTCCCACTGTCGCCGCGCGGTCACTCACCATAAGGCTGGCCCGGGTGCTGTTGGGCAGGAATGTAGTAGGGCTGCTGGCCCAGTGACATGACTGCTGACGTCACGCTGGACGTCATCGGTCCGTTGGACAGCTGACCGCCGGCCTGCTGCTGCATCAGCGCAAAGTGCGCCGGGTGCATCTGCTGCCCGGCCGACACTAGGTACATGTTGGCCGGGCCGCCGGGGCCGCCGGCCGCGCCCGCCACCGGGTACATGAGGCCGGGCCCGGCGCCGCCCGGCTGCGGCCCCGGCGTCGGCGGCTGCGCCGGGCCCGGCCCCGGCTGCGGTACCATGCCGTAGGCGAGCTGGTGGGGGCCGGGGCCCGGCGGCGGGCCGCCCTGCTGGCCGGACGGCTCGTAGCCCTGCTGCGGCGCCGGCGCCCCGTACATGGGCGGGTGGACCATGCGTACCACCATCTGAGGGATACGGGGAGGGGCGGGTCAGCACTGCAAGTGCAGAGTAGAGGTGACTGGGGGCGTGCAGCAGGGCGGGCTATACCATCATAAAGCTGATATTAACCCGCGCCGGGCCGGGGGGGGGTGTTTGAACACCCCCCCCCCCCTTGCGGTTTTTCGCAGATATCTCAAAAACGGCGGCGCGGAGCGCCGCCGTTTTTGGAAAACATGTTTGTGCATCTTTTCCGCACATGTTGTGAAAATTTCAGACCCAGGTCACCTTAGGTCAGGTCACTAGGTCACGCCAAGTGACCTCACCTCAGAAAAAATAAGAATGCTCGTCATAGCTACACCGACTGAACGATTGCCTTGAATCTTTCAGCGATTGATTAGAGCAACACTATCTATAAAATGTATATCTCGGAATTTCGATATCGGTGACCTAAGGTCAGGTCAATTTTGCGGCCTCTCCATTATAAGTCAATGGGAGAAAGTTGAAAAACGCCTGTTTTGCACGAACGCTATTCTAGACACTCTCAAACATCGAGATGTAGGTAAAATAGACACACTGAACCAGAAAATGGCAACTGTGACCCCTCGTTATGTCCCCGAGGTCATCTCAGGTCACGAACAGAATCTAACAGTTTTTCGATGATAACTTCTGATAGAGGCGTGCTAGAGCGCTGAAAACGCCTTAGATGTGTTCGGCTCGACGTTGCGGATCGACTGATATGCAACATGACCTTTTCCGGTCGGGTCATGACCTTGACCTGAGGTCAAATTTTCAAGTTGACCTTTCAAGGTCAAATTATAGGTCATTCGACGCGTCTCGACGAGAGGAACACGATGCTGGCAACAGTAATGTCATAGCTCTTTTGAGTCAAAAGTTATTGCCGAAAAAACGTTTTTCGTAAAAACGGCTATTTTTGGAGTTTTTGCCCTCTGGAGGCTAAACCGTTGACCTGAGGTCAAATCTGAGAACATTATTCAGAAAGGTCTGTAAAAGGGCTATCGAATGCGCTTTTCCGCGGCGCTGTAGCTCTATCGGTTCCCGAGATAGCCGTTGGCAGTTTCCAAAATGTTGAAATAGTCAACATTTTACCTTTGGTGACCTCTGGTGACCTGACCTTTGACCTGACCCAAAAAATGACCGAAGTGTTTTCGTCCTTATTTTTGACGTTCTTTCGATTGCCGGTTACCGCGTGTCGCTACGTGGCCCAGGAGCCGAGTTAGAAGGGGGGGGGGTGTTCAAACACCCCCCGCGGCCCGGCGCGGAATTTCAGAGCACCGGCCCGGCGCGGGTTAATAAAAGGATGATCAAGAACCATGTAGCTTCCACGCTTTACACTTTAGTGATTCAGTACACAGTACACACACCTGATTCTATTCCGTCCTCTTCCCTTCCCGACTGCATCTCTTCCCTCTTACTCCACCATTCTTCTCCACCATCTCTCTCTCTTCTCCTCCTCCATTTACAAGCCATCTTTCCTTCCCCATCTCCATCTCCCTTCCTCCCACCCTTCTCACCTGCGGGTACCCTCCGGGTCCCGGCTGCATCAGTCCCGGCTGCGGCAGCGCCATGGGCAGGTGGGGACCGGCCGGGTGGCCGCCCATCGGAGAGGGCGCCATCAGCGGCTGGCCGGTCACCGCCGCCACCTGCATTGGTGTGGCGGCGTCCGGGCGGTGCGGCATGCCGCCCATCGGAGCGTACTCGCCACCTGGCGGCCGGGGGCGAGCGTCAGATACACAGGTAGGGACGGGAGAGGATCAGGGAATGAGGTGTGGGCTCTGGTGATTGAAATTGAACGAGGTGACGAAGGGACACCAGCGGATGCATTTGCCAATTCTGCTTGAAAATATGACATAAAGGTTTGTTAAAAAAGCATTCAAGCGAGTAAAACGTGGCAATATCTCTAACCAAGTTTCCAGTGATACATTAAAATGAACTACAAAATAAATATAAAGGCCCATATAGTTTACATTAGCAGCAGACCAAAAAATGCGATAAAAATCCACTTACAACAGGAACATGACAACGGCGATTAACTCAACAATCGGGGAGAGCCGGCCACCATCCGACCAGCTCCAACAACAAGCCAAAAAAACCTCCACAACTGAACGGCACTACAACTGAGAGTGAGGGAGCGGCGAACTGAGCCGAACTGAGGCCGGACCGGGCGCGGTGGGTGGCCGACTTACCTCCCTTGTGGCGCGCCATGCGCGGCGGCGGCTGCGGCTGCGGCGCCACGCCAAACTGCTGGCCGCCGGCCATCGGCAGGTACCCACCGAGCACTGGCGACGGGTAGCCGGCCGGCAGCAGCGGCGAGTACGGCCCGCCCGGCTGCACGGCCGCCATCGGCGTCACCACGCGCGGCGGCGTCGGCGACGGCTGCCGGAGCAGACGGGGGGCTTTAGGGGGAGGCGAGAGATCGGGGAGATTCAAGATATGAGTGGTGTCTAAGATAAGTCATAGGAAGAAATCACAGAAAAGGAAGAGACATGACTTCAGTAACAAGAACTCATTCAAGACCTGGCAACTCTATAAAGAACTGCACTGTGTTGGCCTCAATATTCAGTGCAATAGCACTGAATAAAAGATAGAAACGTTTAAAGAAAATGAAAGCCAGCTTACCGAGAAGGCGGTCTGCGGCAGCGAGGACGGCTGTGACGGCGTGAATGCCTTGGCGTTCGGGTTCAGTTTCGACTTGGAGCCGCCGGCCGACTTGTCTCCCTCAGCCGGTTTGGCCTCGGGCGTTTGCGCCGGAGAGGCGGCCGGAGTCTCCTGTTTCTGTCCCTGAGCGCCACCGGGGCCGGCTGGCGGCGTGGTCCTCTGCGAACCGGCCGGAGCAGCGGCCTCTTCGCGACGCGCCGGCTCCTCAGACAGCATGAATGTCTTATTGAACGTCTTCAGGCTCTCGATGTTCTGTCTTTCGGCCTTGCCGTTCTGCTGTCGCTGCTGCTGGCGCACATCATCGCTGGCGCGCACGTCGCCCGACGCTCTAGAGCTGCGCGTGTCGCCGCCGCTGACACGGACGTCGTCACGGCCGGGCCGGCCCTCGCCGCCGCCGCTCACCCGCACGTCGCCGCTGGGGCGCGGCTCGCTGCCGTGACGCACGTCTCCGTTACGCACGTCGCCGCTGGCCGGCCGGGCGTCGTTACGCACGTCTCCGTTGCCGCGCGGCTCCGGACCGCGGCGCGGCGTCTCAGCCGTCTGTGCGCGCTCCTCTGGAGAGCGCACCCGCGGCCGGTCAGACTCCACGGCCGGCGACTTGCTGGCGCCGCGGGCCGGCGGCGACGGCGACGGTGCGGCCGGCGTGGGCGGCGAGCCGCGCTCCCCGCCGTCTCCGTTGACGCGGCCGTGATGCTGCGGCGGCTGCAGGTGCGCTGGGGGCGAGGCGCGCGGGTGCGGCTGCCGGCCGCCACCTCCGCGTCCGTGATGCTGGGACGGTCCGCGGCCGCCCATACCCCCTCCCTGGGGCCCGCCGCCGCCGCGGGGCGGACGGCCGGACGGCGGCGGTCCGCGCGGGCCCGACTGGCGCGGCCCGGCCGGCGGCTCGCGGCTGGGCTGGCGGCGCGCCGGCGGCACGTACCGGTCCCCGCGCTCTCCTCTGTCTCCCCTGTCTCCGCCGGGCCGCACCACAGCCGCGAACGTCGTCTCTTCGTCTCCGTTCTCCATGTCGGCACGATGGCGGGACGTGCTCGAGCGCTCTATCTCATCGGCAATGCGCTTGGCGTGCGCCTCCTGGTCGTGGGAAGTCTGCTCCAGCTGTGTAGTGTAGCCCTGTAGAGACTGGTCGTACGTCGAGCGCACGCCGTACTTGCGCTCATTCAGTGTAAACATATCGTGCGGGTCCCAGCCGTTCTGAAAACCAAGCAGCACCGATCTGATACTCGCTCAATACGGCCTTAGTTGAATAAATTTAATCAAGGTTGCAAATGTTTGGTTAACGGATGAAGTTAGCGCAGAAATCAATGTTGCGTATGAAGTTGTTTCAAAAGAAATTGTGTTTTTTTTTCAGATAATCGGCTGCATCTTTCCGAGAAACTAGACACAGTTTGTGCAACTTCGAACGAAAATACCTTGCAACTTCTGTAGTAATTCACAGAGGGATTAAAATAGGGAACCTAATGCAAATTTCCTCAAAACAAACTTGTTTTTTGCTCTTTTCGTTGTTTTGACTGCATACAATTTAAACTCAATAACTTCTCTGTACAACCTTCAACTGTCGAGTCTGCTGTCCATTACGCAAGTTGGACAAAACATACCCGGAAACTACCCGGTGTTGTACCGTGACCCGCCCCACCCCCAACTATCGTACCTCTCACAGTACCTCAGCCCGACCCCTGCGGCACTCACGGCATTGTCGAGTGTAACCGGGCCCTCAGTGAGTGTGTACTCATCGCCCTGTCGAGTGTAACCGTGTCCCCAGGGGGCTGGTACTCAGTAGTTACTCACAGCATTTTGAAGTGTAACCAGGCCCTCGGAGGGTTGGGTGTGGGTTGGGGGGGGGGGGGGTCGGGGGGTGGGAGTGAGGTACTCACCGCGCTGCCGAGTGTCACCAGTTTTTCGGAGGGCGCCACGTCAGCCACCCAGGGCTGCAGCTCTTTGGGAGCCGCCGGGGCACCGTTCGTCTTCGATTGGATAGCGCTGTCCGTCTGAAAACCGGCTGATGGGTAGAGGGGAGGGGCTTCAGACGGGAGGAGGGAGAGAGAGAGAGAGAGAGAGAGAGAGAGAGAGAGAGAGAGAGAGAGAGAGAGAGAGAGAGAGAGAGAGGTGAGGAGGGGTGGATAGAAGAGTGGAGGTAGTGCTGGGAATGGGAGATGATAACTGCTTATACTGTGGTAATGAATTGGTTGTTAGGTCGGACATTATAATTCTGATAACTGAAATGAAGACTAGAAAAGTCAAGGTGTAGCCAGCGAAACATGGGGCACTGAAAGTACTATGGTAATTTGTATCTGGAGCGACTGAAGCTATCCCAGTGGCAGATCATAAAAGTGAAGGAAAAAGTGTGCGCCTCTCCGCAAAAACTAGTAGTAAAAAAAAGTAATCACTAAATCACTGGGTACGTACGTCTGCTCATCTACATACATGGTGAAAATCAAAGCAAGAAACGAAAAAGAGAATTGGTGAAATGTATGCAAGGAGCAAATTTCAGGCATGTTCCTGTGTCCACAACTACTGAGGTTATCCGGTATCATCGATGTAAAAACCGATGTCCGAATCAAAACGAAAAATAATGATTTTATCTACTAACTTCAAATGTGACCTTTGTGATCACACTCGGTTCACTTTCCACCACAGATTGTTAAAGCCATCACCAATCGCCAATCATATTTGGTTAGTGGGTAGGGTCAAGGAACGATTCAACTACCGTCGTGTTAGTACCACTATTAGTGTCGAGTTAGCATCACTACCAACGTCGAGTTAGTAACACTACCAGCGTCGAAAAATTACCACCACTACTCGGTACTCTACCTCACTACCAGATCGGTGGTCGTGCTGCATAACCCACCACCACTCACATTTGGCCGCGTAATCGAGATCCACATTGCGCACGGTCATGGTGACAATCTTGTCCGTCTTGAAGATGAGCTTATCCTTGACCTCCTTGGGGTCGATGCGTTTGGGGTCGGCCTCGTCGACGAGGTTTACCATGCCGAGAGCGGCGTCATTTTCACTGGACACCGAGACGAGCACGCCCTCAAAGCGCTGGTGTGCCGTGGTCAGTACCTGTAACCCGGCGGCAGTCCGGGGTTACCGGCGAATACCGCACAGCGCACTCGGCTCCAGAGCTCCAGGGGGAGGCCCCGCAACTTGGACGGTTTTCCTAAAGCAGCTAGTGGAATTTGTATATCAAAATTGTTTTGAAACGTTATATGAATGCGTGTTCTTCTAGCGTTACATGCACAACTGCAACGTTTCTTCAAAAGACCAATAAAGCACACACAAAGCGTAGACCAAAGTTTCAAGTAGAGACAACATCTTTTGGCGACTGGGAACAACGACTTGATTGATAAAATTATCTAAAAGTTGTATTAAAAATAACAAACAAAAATTGCATAGCTCCCGAGTGTGCACCTAGCATTCTGGCTCAAAGTACACGGATGCTAGTCCAGGAGTCAGCATTGCACAATGCACAAGTCTCAGTCTCATCAGTCTCGGGAAGCAGTCAGTGTCTAAGGGCTAGTCAACTATATTGGGGTCGGTCATTTTTGTCAGAGAATCAAAGGAGAAAGGACTCTTACTGCAGTTGGATATATCATATACATTATGCGATATGGAAAGACCATAGACTATTTTACATTGCACATTACACGCTCAGTAAGTGCTCCATGTGGTTGAAGTCACCTTTCTGTGGTTTGCATAGATCTGTAGACATTGGTTGCCAAACAAAGATCGACATAATCAGTAGACAGATGAATGTCAAAAATTGTGACACAGATTCATATTCAGACAGATAACAGATTCGGTTTGATGAGGCTAAGACTTTTAGAGGTAGTTCAGAGGTAGTTATGAAAGACCGACATTTCCGTCCACATTCAGCTCTGCAGTTGCCTTGTCGGAACGACCGAATGGAAGCGCTTCATCCAAAACACAAGACGAAATCGAGCGTTAAAGGAAGCCGTTTATTATAAGAAGGTATTCGACGAGTCTCGACGACAGAAAATTTCAAATATGCAGGCTAATCCAAGATCGGTAGCACGCGCTTGGTTTCTTGAAGCATGCATCTAATACTTTGATCCTGCATATTACCGGCTAATATCGGCGCTTGGAGCAACGACTCAACGTGTGCCGAACCGCTTCAACCGCTCCAGTGCCCTGGCGAGCGCTGGAGAAACTCTGGTGGCCAAAGCCGGAACTACAGCTACACGGTCTGTCCACCGCGACTGCTGCTTCTCCCTCGGAAGCAAACGAGTACAGGACATTTACTCCGCATTGGCCCTGTATTTCATCACAAATCATGAACTTGACCCAGCCCCGATCCATAAGGGGAGCTTCATTCCACTACCTGAAGACTGCCTTTTGAATACCGACTATCGGGCATGTGTCCGACTCTGCCAATGCAGCCTTTCGGTCTTATCTAATATCTTATCTTATCCGACTCCCATCGAACGGCCCCATCCGCAAAACCACTGATCACATGCGGAACAAGGAAACATTCCGTTCAAGGTAGCTCAGTGCTCAGGCCAGGAAGCTACCAAGTTCGTTTAGAAAAGAACGGCAGCGGGTGAAATCTCGCCAGTTTTACAGACGTTGCCACCGGCTGAGCGTTCCCAGCGGCCTGGCCGGTACGCTCCGGGAAGTTGGAACGGCGTAGCGCGGGCTGATACCCGATCAACCCTTTTTCTGCTACGGCGATTATAAATAAATGATAAGCAGAAGCCGCAACTAACAACTATACAGCCGATCGGCTATGAGCTTACCTCACTGGTTGGAGAGTACCTAGTTACTAAAAATGATATGGTCTGATGGGTAAATTAAAGCAGCCTAACGGTGCTAAACTCGCTTCCGTGCGAAGCATGCATTAACTGCAATAATTTGCACGAATTAATAGCCAAAGCTGCATTTCCAAGTCTGTTACCTACTGTTCAAGTTTGTCGTACTCAGAGCGAAATCGAACAATCATATACATATTGCAGAAAAACCGTACTACATACACAATGGACGGTCTACTAGTGGTGCCAATCGGAGCATAGACCTTCGGAATTCCAATTTTGTTTAATGTCCATTTCGGACTTTGGTTGGACAAAAGCAGCAGGCTTTGGATAACGTTACACCACTCGCTACACCTCAGCATTTTTATAGAGTAATCGTGTACAGCATAGATTGGCGAATAAAAAGCTCAGCTTTCAATATGATGAGCACTTTTGGGCTGGCAATAGTAAATTAAATAATAATCCTGAGTGTTAATGAACTATTGTGTAGTTTTCGGACATATATGAACAAATAGCTGGCCTGGACATCTTTGGACGGACAGTCGGCGAAATGCCGGACATTGGACAATGGCATTATTGGACATACCTACATTTTCTAAAAGTGACACCACTTAAGCCTACCGGTGCAAGCTCAAACATGTAATGACAATTGACGTATGGGTATGAGTTTTAGGACACATCAGTGACAAAGGCCACTTGGCGTGACAATTGACATAGGCTCGCAATTCGCATGACAGATTGTCGACGATTATGTAAAACCGGCCGCCGGTCGGGGCGGATGAAATGCGAAGCTTTAGTTTTGACATTTACCGCCAGGGGCGGGACCGTGCGGCATTCAAATCGTCCGCGGAGGGTACGAGGGTCATCGAAAGGATTACATCATGCGAGGGACAGCGGACCCGGTACTGACCAGGGGGGGGGGGGGGGCACATAGTGGGAGGGGAGAGGGTGGCGGGAAGAGAAAATGGCGGGAACTGGCCGAACGTGGACCACGTGGGCGCAAATTCCTTCCCCAAAAGGAAACGGGAAATGTCAGAAATCGGAGGCCCACGTGCCTCTCATTCATAGGGAAAGTAGCATGGCTGGTAACATTGCGGAAAACACATCTATAGGGGTTTTCGGTGTTCAAATATTGCATCGATTAGAACCCAATCAAAAAGCAATTGATACCTCAATCAAAAAGGCTCGACCAAACATCACCAAACCCCTTTCCCGCTCCTACTCTCCCTCAAAGCACTGACGCCGACGCAAGACGCCGCTCCCTCGCAGCGTCGCCAGTTGACCGTCGCCGAGCTGCCAGTGACTATTTCGGTCAAAACGCACTGTGCAGCCCCGACCGACGCTGACCCCCCCCCCCCCTCCCCCACGGCCAAGGACGGCCCGGTGGGAATGTCACGGCAGGTCATCAGCGAGCCTGAGACGGCCGAACGGGACGGCGTCGGTCGGCCGGCCGCGGGGGCACAGGTGCATAGTCGGGGGAGACGGGGGGACAGGGGAGCCGCCAGCCGGACGCTGACAGTGCATGGACCGAGGCGGGCATTCAAACTACAGCGGCGGGGACTAGCCTGCGCTGTGCAGAGAAAAGATAGACGACACATGCAGAGAGGGGCGCACGTAAGACGAGATCCATCAGCGCCTGTCTTTATGTCAAAAAGCGAAGAGCAAAACCACCTGTAGCACTAGTACCGAAAGCACAAGAAAAAAGGTATTCAGAGCTTTCAACAACGCCGGGGAATGCAAAAACGCTCCAGTAGCAGCTACTAGCCAAGCATGTTGGCACATTCATTTCAACTACCACCACCACCAAGCCCAGAGACGGATCCCTCCACCAGCACGCGTCTCCCCATCTCACGCAGACGTGAGACAAAATCCTCAGCCCGCCGGAGACAACTCACCTGAGCCGGGATCTCAGAGACAGGGAGCAGCAGGGGGACAGCCGGGAGCCTTTCAGAAGCGGCCACCTCGCCGACGGCCCATCCAAAACGCACCGACGAGCCACAAACGAACCGACCACCACGTCTCGAGCGGCGACCGGCGGCAGCCACCGGCGAGCCGGTACTGATTGCCGGTGCCGGCGCGTCGGCCGCGTACCCCGACGGGCCCGGTCAAAGGGCACAGAGCAATGGCGGCGGACGCGCCGGCAGAGGGGGTGCAGGGACGCCCGGCCGACCCCAGAAGTCGCCGTGCCAAAGGGTCGGGACGGGAAGGAGAGGGCCCGCGGCTGGCGGCGTCCGACGCACCCCCTGGTGGGAGGGACGCCGCCAGGAGGGGAAGGGGGGGGGGGGGGAGACTGACGCCCCGACCGGTCGGGCCGGGCGGGACCGGACCGGCCACAGGGGCCAGACTTGGAAAACCCCGCCGACTCTAGATACCGTGCCATGAAAACGACTTGCAGCGTACCCTGCTCACTTGATAACTATTTCTCGCTTCCTTCGGTCCCGCTCAGTGCCCATTGCCCATCTCAGATCAATTCCTATGTATATTCCGGCTCATGAGGGTAGTCCTTGTGCTAGGCCGCGTGACGACGAGTTAGGTCAATTTCGGGACAGACCGGGTTAAGGCTGGGTGCAGCAAATCGGACCTGAGTTACGAATGAGCCACCCGAAATCAGGAGAGGGGCTGGTTTCGGAGTCGGTCAGTCGAGTCGCACGCTGGACACACCGTCTCAAGGTCGCACCGCGTCCATCGTCTCATCACACAACCTGTCACGTCACGTGCCCATTCAGTGCCACCCTGTCATATGTTACGTGACCTCGTGTGACCGGCCGGCGTCGGACTGACCTGCACCGTACACCCGATCACCGAGCTGAGTGCGTGGGCATACTTGGGGTCGGCGTATACACCGGAGGCCTCCAGCGGCGGCCGGCCCTGGCTGGAGCGCGGCTCCTTACCGCGGTACCTGGAGATTGGGAGGGGGGGGGGGGGTGGTGATTAGAGGCACACATACAGTCAGACAGAGAGCACTCACAGACGGCCCCGGCTGGAGCGCGGCTCCTTACCGCGGTACCTGGAGATGGGAGGGGGGGGGGGGCGGTCAGAGACTGACAGACAGACACACAGAGACAGACAGACAAGGACTGGAACGCGGCTCCTTGCCGCGGTATCAGTAGAACTAGAAAGGGCGGTGGTGGTCAGGGGCGAGGCACACACAGACGGAAAGAAAGAGACGGACGAGGAAATGACTGGTGCATGATTGGTGAAAGTACCTGTAGACAAGGCCGGAGGCAGCGAAAGAGAGAATGAGAGAGAGACAGAATGAGAGAGAGAGAGAGAGAGAGAGAGAGAGAGAGAGAGAGAGAGAGAGAGAGAGAGAGAGAGAGAGAGAGAGAGAGAGAGAGAGAGAGAGAGAGAGAGGTGGACGGATATGGACAGACAGAGACAGGACCGAAAGATCAGAGAGACGGGACAGGGTTGAGCGTCAGGGTCCTGTGGGGAGTGGGAAGGTTCTCAGGGCAGGGACCGCACCCCGAAAATTTCCCCGCTGCCGCCTTCAGTCGGTCCCCTTCCTATCGCGCAATCATCCCACTGTAGCAGGGCAGGCGGCGCGGTGCATCAGTGCTCCGCATTACACGTTCAGAGGTGCAGAAATGGGCGCTCTGGAGCCATGGATGGAATGTAAGAGGCTCGCGAGACCCGTATCGCTACTGTGCGGCGATTATGATACAGACACACGCCACATGCATCATTGCATCAATCTAACATAAATATTAGTCACACTGACAATCAGATAAGCCCGTCTGGTGCCGCCTGTTTGCACCACCACCTATGACGGCACAGGCACTCGACTCTCGGGACAATCCCGCCGATTCGGTCATACAAGGAGGGTGATGTTGGGTGATGTTTAGATGTTGATGGTGGTGACTGGTGATGTTGAATGTTGATGATTCAACATCACCCAATCTAAGGGTGATGTTGATGTTGAACAGCCATAGGACGGCGGTAGGTAGCGCCAGGACCCATCGTGTGCAGACGTCCTGTGCCGACCCTCTCAGTCCGGCGCGAGCACTTTATCAGATACGGGACCCCTGAACGTCAGCAGGCATTGCGGAACAGCAGAGGGGCGCGTATCACTGTCCAGGAAACAGTAGACTCCCCTCTGTTTTGGCGGCAATGTTGCACAAGTACAGACCACGCTATCACTACTGACACGCAGACGCCTTTAAAGACGGACAGATAAGGAAAATTGCATATTTGCGATAACTGACCCAACCGCTTTAGCACACTAAGTGCGATAAGATAGCTTATCCCTTTCCGTTCATCCGGTAGCTCAGAGACAGACTGGGTGACATAAAAACAATGAGGAACTAAATTTCTATCTAAAAGGTAGATAACATATACATAACATGTATGTGATTAGGTAACAGTCCCAATTGTTACGTAGTCTTCGAATACTTGCCAATCAGGCACATTAATAAATAACACGAAAAGCAATGCTCAGTGAACACTATAGACCTACTTGATGTCCTTTAGAACCTTGGCTATAATTGCTTAGTGGCATTGCCCGTTGCGTGACTAGCCACAAATGTTCAATTCAGGGTAGATTTAAATGACCTTGGAAAATCTTTAAATTGTGTAATCCGTGCATTTCTGGGCCTCGTTTCATAAAGCGAGTCCGTAACTTACGCCGGTTTTTGGGCTTCTATTGCAGGCGCATGTGAAGCGATAAATTTATTTCCCCTTCTTCCTTCTGTTCTTGCTTGCAAGATAAATTAATTCAACGATTCAAACCATCGTCATCGCTTCAACTGCACTTGCAATACAAGACCAAAAACCGGCGTAAGTTACGGACTCGTTTTATGAAACGAGGCCCTGGTGTCATCCATCACCGAACCGAACCAGCAACGCTCCTCGAAACCGACCTGACCCATCCGACTAGCCGACCGCTTGGCCAGCGACCCACGTTTCTCCTGCGTCCTTGACCAGCTAAACTTCCTCCGACTCCGCTCAGCGGCACTGGGTACCCAGAACCGCTGAGTGACCGACCCTCCCTGCCATCCGTCCCCGCGGCTCAGCAGTCACCCCGTGGAGCCTGAGTGACCGACCCCTGCTCACCGCCCGGCCCTGCGGGCGCCTCCCCCGCCGCAGACCGCCGCCGCGCCGCGACGACATTCCGATGGGTCTGGACAGTAGAGTTCTGCACGGCTGCAATTTTCCACAGCCTAGCCGCCCCGCAGCCGTGGCTCCACAGCCACAGCCGCCCACAGCCGTGGCAAACTGTGGGCAGCCAGCCGTCAGCCGGCCGTGGATACTTTCAATGAAATGCAACCAAATAGTATATAATAGGTTGTTTTTAGTTGAAACATATAGCCAAAAGCACATTGCAATGGGCTATAGATTCTCAAGCTCATGAAGCATCATAGGTTAAGTGGTTGTGTATCTGGCTTTAGGCCGAAGGCCTGAAGCCTGATGCGCAACGCATGCCTACACAAGCCCTTGCAAGGGGTTAAGAAAGATGGGTAGGTACCTACATCAACAGAAAACATAAACAACGAACCAGAATAGAAGCACTAGCAGTGTGGACATCTAATGCCAAATCCTGAAGCATGGTTGTAGGACAGAACAACAGACCCTGATGCTTTTCATTATCAATGTTAGGTATGGAAAATGAAACTCAAGTTGATGGACTGTCAAACAGTGATTGTCTCAAGGCTATAGAACTCCGATTGTCTAGTAAAAACTCTTGCTTCTTTCTTACCTTGCATATTTTCTGGGGTGTGATATGCCAGACTTGAAGCAGCCTTCTGGGCAAGTCTCAAACTAATTTGATATGCAAGGCATCAAAACACTAGTGAGCATCCAAGAAAGAAAAACATTCTTCTATTTTGATTTTCCAAATAATGATCTTCGCTCAAATCCCCAAGGACGTGCGACAATTACCTCTTTTAATCAAAAATTTTACTTGAGTTTTTAATGACGTCAATAGCAAAGAAGTGGCAATAAATTGTTTTGTTTCACTATAAACAGCCATAAAAATTAAAATTAAGAAATAATAATGCTATACAGTCAAAAAATTGCTCTCAAATAAAGAGTAAGTATCAAATTTTTACATTTTCAGAAGAAGGCGTCATTTTATTAGTAAAGTCAACAGCTCGCGTAAGAAATATTGTGTTCAGGGTTTTCACCGTCATGTGAATTTTGTGTTCAGGGTTTTCACCATCATGTGAATTAACCGTAAGTAAGGTTCATGTTCACTATAATATAATTCCATTGGCTTCGTTGATCAGCATTTTCTGTTAGCGGTCACTCACACACCAGTTAGAACATAAAGCGCCAGTTTTATATTATGTAATTGGACTTGCCGAAAATCCAGAAATACATCTAAGAGTTATTTTAGATAATATTTTATGAAGCCTTTACCTGCCTTTACCTAGGCGTGATTTCTTTTTCTATTACCTGAAAGAATTATTTAACGCTCGTCTTCAATAGCTGTAAGGTGCTCTCCTAATGACCAGGTGAGATTGATTTGAGAGGGATGTGACAATGCAACATGCTGCATTTTCTGAAACTGTCAAGCTCTTGATGATGAAGGAACAATTGGTACCTATAATTAGTATTCTGTACCAGAGTGCAAACTCCCCTACAACAAATGGTAAAACCATTACAGGTTTTCAAAGGCTTTACCACTTTCAATGTTGCTGGGCATCCTTTGCATGATTTTTACAGGCTAGACTGCTTATCAGAATGTGAGATTAAGGATTTAAAATTTTATATTTGAGTACTTAAGATTGAGCTTGAAATCTCACAGCCGTGGCCACAGCCGTAGCCGTGTTCTTGGAGATATTTGCAGCCGCCCCGGCCCACAGCCGTGGGGCTGCAGCCAGCCGCGGCTGCAGCCGGCCGGTGCAGACCTCTACTGGACAGGCGTCATCGTACCCCTTCTGTCCCACGGCGTCCCGTACGGACATCACGGGACAGACGCGTGACAGGGCGCGCAGTGAAAAGCCGCGTCTCCATAGGGATTGCTGTAAGTCCCCAGCTCTGTCCACGATGTCGCAAAACATGCCAATGACACTTTGCAATTTACAAAATGATCTCATCCAGCGATACGAAAAGCGCTACATCGAAATGATCGCAGAATACACGAGCTAGAGCCTCGTCAAAAATGTTATGTAACCACTAACCAGGCATAATGCCGATAAAAATATCGGCAGAGGCGCACTCAGAAACCGAGAGGGCAATGCTGCAATAGGAGGATGCGATTCAAAATTAAACTCAATAAGACTTATGAGTCACTCATGAATCGGACGACGCTCACGACAAAATAAATATCCCAGACGGCATATGACATGTCCGATAAGAGCGCGTCACCATCCTACCATCGACGAAGGGAGGCGCTCACGGGCCAGCATTGATAACCTATCTGAATGAAAGTGGCAATGATGTCAGGCAAACATTCAGATAGCTCTGTTAAATGGCTCGGGTGTCTTATCTGCATTGTGTGGCAGGGATCCAACAGAACAAGGCAATGCAAGGCGAATTTAGCGTATGCCGTATCATATCTGATTATACTCATGCGTCATCGCTCCTTTCCCTGCAACCACAAAAGCGGGACCCGTCTCCCGTGTCACAGTGAGCTCGCACGCAGAACAGCTTTTCAACAAATCTGGCGCAGATTCCTTCTTTTCTCCCCACCTTCCCCGGTGGCGCCGGCGGAGACGGATGGGTCTGAGGGGCGACACCGACCCTTCCTTCACCTGGTGCAAATACATTAACATGACAGCGTAGTCCGACGAATCGAGGGGCATTTCCTCCTACTCTCAGACCGGCTGGGAGACACCGACCGGGGACTTCGCCGCGGCCAAAACGCTCAGTGCAAGGGCCGGCGACACCGGTTTGACGAAACGGTTTGACCCATAGTGGCCACCATATTTAATGATTTTTAAAGTACCTTAGCTAGTTCGAGCCTTAAGCCTCGCTCGTATTGGTGTTTTGCTAGTCGCGAACGCCGAAGGGAAGGGTTCCTATGAACCCCCCTTGCCGTTTGGCCCCTGATCGAGCTAGAGCTTTGCGGAAAAAACGAGCGTGTTGCCCGTGACGAGAGGAAGCCGATGATACCCAATATTAAGGTTCTAGGTCTTTGGTTGGGGAAAATCGAGACCTGTTAAAACGTCGTAGTGTGGCTGCTATGTTTTTTCGGGGTGCTGATCACGAATATCGTGATAGTTTTGATCACAGATGATGTCTTTATACATTTAGGCCAGGTCAGGTCAACCAGTAGGGGTCCTGCCGGGTATTCGTAGTACGTGTCAACCGCCTCGGACAGCTTCGTAACATTACGAATGCACCAAAACTACTTCCTAATTGTTCAAATGGTTGCTAAATTCGAATTCAGTCCCAAAAACTAGCCTAGAAAGTAGAAACATGTAAAACTCGAAAAGTGAGCCGGGCTCATCAAAGGTCAATGACCTCACCTGACCTTCAGGTGACCCTGACATACACCCTAATGCATGGGAGCAACATCAAATCACATGTTTGAACGCCTGAAACCACGAAAAGACTGCAAACGCGCGGCTAATGCGAGCCGACATACACCGAATCGCGATTCCGACCAAACATGGTCTCGAAAAGTAGGTCACAGGTCAAAGGTCATTTGGGTCAGGGTCATGAAATTTTCAGGGTAGGTGTACAATTGATCAAAGCGAGGGTACTGCAAGGTTCGTCGCGATCGGCCGTTTTTTAGGTGAGTAATTTACGAAAAATGTTAGGGGGGTTGCATCAACCCCCTCCCTGTGCCCGCGAGGGTTAAGGCGCTCACTACTGAAGTCATTCTGCGCCCGTCGCTTCCAAGATCGGCACAAACACGATACAGGGTGTTTCAAAAAGAGTATTACGGTTTTGAACATCTCCCGTTTCGTAACCATAAGGCTTACATCATTCATGTTTTGCAGATTTAGAGGCAACATTTTGACATTTTATATGGTAAAATTACAAGTTCCTAGGTAAAATTGTTTTTCACCAGAACAAAAAAAGCAAAAAACTCAATTTTGTTGCTGTATGTCTGTATGGTACGTCACAGTCTGCCGCCAACTCAGTGAGAGTCTGAGCCCCTTTCGCGTGATGAATCCAGAAACAAGCTCATCAATAAACTTTTGAAATACTTTATGCGTAAGAACACTGTGTACAACTACCATCTGGCGCACAGCAACAAGCTGAAACAAAGCCACAAACACAAGGGCAACGATCAACAATAAATAATTTTCGACGCGAGTTCCCATGCCTCGACGGGCGTCTTTGATAGCGAAGTCCTCTACTCGTTTTTGCTCCGAAACACATAAAGAGACGAAAGGATAGCTGATGAACAGTTTTGAGTCCCTGTACTCAAACATGCACAGCTTCTGGGTGTGCGCTATGTGAGAGTGTATCAGAACCCCTATGTATCGTGTCAGCGACTGCAAATTTTGGCCGAAGAATCCGGTATGGCAACGTCACTGTCCTGGGACTAATGGGTGATCGCCATTCCGTTGCCGGTTTTGCATGAATTCGCTACCTTGAAGCATCTTTTACCTTCCTTGAATTCGCTAGAGCAAACATATTTTAGACATATTGACAATGAGAACAAAACACATTATACACAGAATGTCACTTTAATTCAGCCATCAGTGTCCCAATTGAGTAGTGATGGCCTGGTACTCACCGCGAGTTATTGTTAGTGCTGGGCATGGCAGAACTGCGAGTTTTCTTCGGCCGGTTACTTTGACCGCCAGAATTCATAGCGCTGGTACCTTGCAATGGCTCGCACGTGTTGAAGAAGGACCTGGGAACATGACATAGCCACGTCAACATTGCACAAACGTCAACGTTGCATAAACAAATAGCGTCACATGGTATTCCTCACGGCGTCACATCGACGTACCTACGGCGTCACTCAGTGCGTCACGAATTCACGATCGGTTCTTCCCCTCCAGCTGTGAACAGTCCTGGTGTTTAAACTCCAGGATGGCGGTGATTCATTGGGATCATATCAGCGCAGCATCAAAACCAGGCGCTTGCAGAGCAGTGACTCATTGTTTTCTATTGCAATTGTACTCCACAAAGGGAGTTGTTATAAGTGGATTTGCTAGTATGAAACAAAGCTCACTAGAAATATCGCTGTTTTTACTTGGTTACGACGTCCTTGGTTAGAACATTATAAGGCATGAGGATTATAGGCGAGACACTGGACTGAGTCGACCACCACTGCTGCAGTGGCCGCTAGAGGCACGCTAGAGCGATGGAAACGCCTAAAATGTGTTCAGCTTGACCATACGGATCGACTGATATGCAACATGACCCTTCCCGGTCAGGTCATGACCTTGAACTTCAATTTCTAGCTTGACTTTTCAAGGTCATATTACAGTTCATACGATGCATCTTGACGAGAGGAACACGGTGCCGGTAAAAGTAAGCTCGTACAACATTCCCGGTTACAACATTCCGGGTTCGACGCGCGGTGGGCGCTCGATGTTTATGAGCCTCCTGACGGTTATGGTTGCGGTTGGTGGCAGGCTACAGCCAGTCGAAATCAGTGAAGGGGACCGGCCGTGCGCGGCTTTGTGCGGACGTTAAACTTCGGACTCTAAATTCTGCCATAGACAAGGAATTGCGCGATCGGAAGGTAGAGGGCAGGGCCAAGGCAACAAGCTCTGCTTAGCGGGACTCTGTCCCTGTTGATCCTTTCATTCAAGAAGGTTTGGACCAAAATTGTAAAAACAAATCTGCCAAAAATTGTTTATGTTGGCAGTTTTTGCCCCTGCAGACAAAACCATTGACATTTGGCTAAATCTGAGAAAGAGTGTTAACAGGGATATTAAATGTACTTTTCGGGACGCTCTAGCTCTCTTAGTTTCCGAGTTATGCGTTGGCTTGTTACAAACCATTTTCGACCTGAAAATAGGTAAAATTTGGCATTTTATACATGATGATGTGACCTTTGAACTGACCATAAGGGCGACCAAGGCAATTTCATTATTCTTACGCTCTTCCTAACGTCGCCTTCCCTGTATCGCTATGTGGCCCAGGAGCCAAGTTAGAAAGAGGGTGTTTACCCCCCCCCCCCCAGCAGGGCTATTAAGCTTCCACAGTATCCATTTAACTGGAGGTACAGTTAATAAAAGCAAGGAAACAATTGTGTTCTAAATAAGGGCATGAAGCATTTTTACCTACCCTGGGCATTTTGCATGGCTGTACCTACCGGCTACCTACCTAAATTGTAAGTAACATTACAATTAATAAATATCAGAGATGATAGGCAATAGGCATGCAAATTGCCATTCAGCATTTTTTTTTTAGTGAAAATAATGATATTAACATCACAATGCTTTTTGAAACTTAAATAATTTACACGAACAGGAGACAAGAGTGCACACATAATTCCTTATGTTACATCCACATAGGTTCTTTGGGGCCTCAATTTAAAACTGTTGATAGCTAGTTTTTAAACCATTGAGTGATGCAGCATTTCAGCATTTCCCGCTCAGCTCATGTGGCATCTGCCTCATCGATACCAAAGACATTTTATTCAGGGCTGATTCTGCACCAGTATACAAATAGTTTACTCATGAAGAATGGATGTAGACTGTCATAAGACTTTTAACACATTAAAGAGCACCACCCAACAACAAAGTGATATGAAATCACAATGACTTGGCATTGAGTTAAGTGAATAGGTACCACAAGATACCTATATATTGAGTAGGAAAATAGCAATTATAATGAGTAGGTAGGTACCATAGATATAGATACATATTGAGTACCTACCATAGCAATTATCAACTGTGAAATTGAAAGCTTCTTGGCTCCTAGTGCTAAAATAAAATCAAGAAAATAAATATGGAAAGCATTTAGAAGCAATCTTAGCAACAAATATCACTCCGCCAATTGCCAAACTTAAAGAATGTGAGATCAAACTTCCGCAAGGCTACACCAACATTAAGATGAAACCATGACGCTACAGGTTCTGTATAATACAAAATAAGAATATCATCAGTCCAGCAAATGTCAGACAAATTTAAGCAGGAAGTTATGTCAACTTTCCTCGATGTATCAAACTTGTCAACGTGAATTCAAAACGTGTCAACTATAAATAACACAGTTGGCTGGTGATTGTGATTCACAAAGACAATTTGAGTTTTTCCACACCACATTTTTGAGCCGGGATGACAAATAAACCGTCTCTCATGAAAAAATGACAAATAAATGTCATATCAACCTGAAACCAGACATGAGCCTTAACCCAGAATGAGAAATGTTGGCTAAGTGCTATTCTTACACTTGGAAATTATAAGAAGCCTTTGGAACCGAATGTATAATGATTCTGGAGCATTTAGAAACAATATACTCACCCAATAAAAATAAAGTTTCCCAGAAAACCAGTAGTCTCCCCTGGGGTCACCCCACAGCGCGAAGACAGAGAACGCGGCAAGGCAACAGAAAACACTTCAATTTACACTAATGGCGCATAAGCGGCATACTCCCAGCTACCATATGTAAGGAAAGGAAGTCTACTGCCATATACATAAAATAAATTATAGGCAAAGGGATTTTGGTGCGCACGATTGTACTAAAAATCTTAAATCTTGACATTTTTTTAGCTTTATCAATCTATTTATATACACTGTGGATCAATCATGGTAGAGCAGAACAAGACTCGCACTCTGCCTAAAAGCCCTTTGGCGTTTGGTGGTCAGAGTTTTCCGTTTCGCCTAAAACTCGGGGGGGGGGGGGCGTTTTCAGCCGGCAGCCCCCCGTCTAATTCGGCTCTTGGGTAAAGTAGTGACACGCGGTAAGCGGCATTCGAAAGAGCATCAAAAATAACATAGAAAGCGCTTAGTGATTTCTAAGGTCAGGCCTTAGGTCAGGTCACCAGAGGCATGGGTGGAGAATGTTTGAAAAAGTTACCCTGGCCGGCGACCGAAAGTCAGAAACAGGTCAGGTCACCAGAGAGGTCATCATCAGTAGCGGCGGAACACCTTCAATTAAGGGGGGGGGGGCACTGCCGACTTTTGGTCCCATTCTTTCCATGCAACGCCCATAGGGCTAATGTTAAAATGCCAAAATCAAAGGGGGGCACGGTGCCCCGGTGCACCCTCCCCGTTCCGCCGCCTATGTCATCAAAGGTCAAATTTTGCCTATTTCAACAACTTTCGAAAACCCGGCGCATAAATCGGGAACCAATAGGGCTACAGCGCCGCAGAAAAGCGCATTCGATAGCTCTTCAACGCTCTTTCGCATGGTTCGCTAACATGTCCCCCAGATTAGACCTCATATAGGCCTGAATGGTGGTTCGTTACGTGTAGCATTACAGCTCCCTGTTGAGCGAGATAGGCCGGTAGAAATAGTCGGTAGGTCTGCCCGACGGACGCTTGATCCCAACGCAATGTGCTGCGACCTACTCACCGCTGATTGGTCCTCGTTGCACGCTCTGCCAGGCAGAGGCGGATCCAGCTCAGAGGTTTGGGGGGGGGGGGGGGCAAACCATAAAAATTTATCGATTCTTTCCATGCATCGTCCATAGGCGTAATGTTAAAATCATGCCGTTTGGGGGGGGGGGGGCAAATGCCCATTTTGCCCCCCCCCCCCTGGATCCGCCACTGCTGCCAGGGGTAGGGGATAAGTGGCGAAGCTCTTTAGAGGTTTGGAGTCCCATCATCGATAGGCATATGCCCCTCATCACGTGGTGAAACTCCGCCATCCGCCCTGTCCCTGGTTGGATGACAGCGCCGAGCTGAGGGAGATGATGAGGCAGCTGGTAGAGCACTTCATGGGCCGGATAAATCCGTTATCCACGGATAAATCCGCGGACCGGATAGGATTGGATTCTAAATTTGTTAAAAAAGAACGGATATGGGCGGACCGGATTTGGGAATTGAAGGTTGAACCCGGATCAAAACGGATCAAAATTCTAACATTCAACATTGAAGTTAAAAATTAACCTAATGTGTTAAGCGGCAGCAGAGGTTCATGTGGTTTTAGGTTTATAAGCATGGTTTTTGGAACCATGATGGTCTGTGAGATGTATGGCTGTCTGGTCCCTTAGATTGAATTCAGATTCAGTCCAGTTTTGGGTGAAACCAGTTATTGGTGAAACGGATTATTACGGATATTTTTTGGAAGTTTGGCTGCAATACGGGCCATGGGTGGGCCGGATTCTGATATTCAAAGAAAGGCGGATAATGGGCGGATCTGGATATGACTTGCCGGATATGGGCCGGGCCGGATCCTAAAAAGCCTATCCGTGAAGTGCTCTAGCAGCTGGACGCGGAGCGGGCAGAGAGGAACGCTGATCGACGCGAGAAGACCGAGCGGAGCGCCGGTATCGACAGTGCCGAAACGACGTGAAGGCGGCACAGGCCAGAGCGCGTTCTGCTTCCTTTGAGGCCTCATTTAGAAACTCCCGCAAACAGACTAATGACATAAGGAAATTCCTTGTTGCGTCCGGGAAGAGGGGAGGTGAGGAAAGTGGTGCGTCGATCACGAAACTGAAACGCACGCGTGAATGGGAAGAGAAGCTTAACCCGCGCCCCAGTGTCAGTCTGGATTTTCCACGACCTGGTGTGGGGGGTGTTTGAACACCCCTCCCCCCTTCTAACTCGGCTCCTGGGCCACGTAGCGACACGCGGTAAGCGGCAATCGAAAGAACGTCAAAAATAAGGACGAAAACACTTCGGTCATTTTTCGGGTCAGGTCAAAGGTCGGGTCACCAGAGGTCACCAAAGGTAAAATGTTGACTATTTTAACATTTTGGAAACTGCCAACGGCTATCTCGGGAACCGATAGAGCTACAGCGCCGCGGAAAAGCGCATTCGATAGCCCTTTTACAGACCTTTCTGAGTGATGTTCTCAGATTTGACCTCAGGTCAACGGTTTAGCCTCCAGAGGGCAAAAACTCCAAAAATAGCCGTTTTTACGAAAATCGATTTTTCGGCGATAACTTTTGACTCAAAAGAGCCATGACATTACTTTTGCCAGCATCGTGTTCCTCTCGTCGAGACGCGTCGAATGAACTATAAGTTGACCTTGAAAGGTCAACATGAAAATTTGACCTCAGGTCAAGGTCATGACCTGACCGGAAAAGGTCATGTTGCATATCAGTCGATCCGCAACGTCGAGCCGAACACATCCAAGGCGTTTTCAGCGCTCTAGCACGCCTCTATCAGAAGTTATTAGCGAAAAACTGTTAGATTCTGTTCGTGACCTGAGATGACCTCGGGGACATAAAGAGGGGTCACAGTTGCCATTTTCCGGTTCAGTGTGTCAATTTTACCTACATCTTGATGTTTGAGAGTGTCTAGAATAGCGTTCGTGCAAAACAGACGCTTTTCAATTTTCTCCCATTGACTTATAATGGAGAGAGGCCGCAAAATTGACCTGACCTTAGGTCACCGATATCAAAATTCCGAGATATACATTTTATAGATACTGTTACCCTCATCAATCGCTTAAAGTTTCAAAGTGATCGGTCACTCGGTGTACAGGGTGTCCCAGAATTACCCGGACATTTATTTTCTGGCTAAAAGTACGATTGCGCTCGCTTCTAATGATATACAAGCATCATACTTTTATAAGATATCCCTTAGCTATCGAGATTGGGGACTGTGTGCTTTTGGTAGCCGGTAACGACTCGAATCAATTGTTATCCAGAGTCAAGTAAGAGTAGTCCTTTTCCGTTTTCAGCCACTAATAGGCAACCATGGTGAATCAACTCCCGTTCTCAACTTTGTAAACGGACTTTCGGCATGGTTTTTGCTGGAGAGCTTCAGCAGCTCATCTGCAAGCAGTTAGGACTGAGCAAAACGCAATTATATCAGCTAACGAAGCCAGAGAGAGCAAGAGATAAACCTGATTGACAAGCTTGGGCTCGGCCAAAAAGGGCCATGCACCAGTTGTCAAACAAGTGGTTGCTTGTCATAGACAACAAACGTCACCGATCTAGCTAAAAACTAGCTTAACAATAGATCAGGATTATCTACAAAACATAAGTCTACTTTGCACCACTATCTTAGACAAAATTTTGGAATTTGGGGTCCTTCGCCAGAAAAATATGCGAAAACTACGGGAAAAGCAGCGCAAATCACTACAATTCATCCCAAAAACATAACATATACAACAAAACAGTATATTGAAGCACACTTTGTGTTCTAACGAAGGTATTATGTCATTTGAACCGCCCGAAAAAGGCGTGTGTGAACGTCCGATGGCTACAACGCCCCAACAGCAGAGACGGCCAGGCACCCGTCGAAAATCAAATTGTGAGACATTTTGAGTCGCCGTGCACTCATTGGGCTTGATATGATGGCCCAAAGACAACCGTTAGCACAGAGTACTACTGCGGTAATATTCTACCAGTGCGAAAACTGGATGCCGCGAACCAAATGGCCATGAACGGGTTTGTTTTGGAAACCAAATCTGTTGGAAGCCAAAGGTTGCGCAATGTTCAGACATGGAGCTTCTCCACTCCAGATGTAAAAAAAAACGCAGCAAAAGTGGCGTAGGCAGAAATTTTTGTTTGGGGGGATAATACTTAATTATTATTAAGTATTATTAATAAGTATTAGATAATAATAATTATTATTATTATTATTAATACCTTATGGCCTGGGAACACTTTGATGTCAAGTTTATCTTATATGATCGTATTATCCTCCGGCAAGAGGTCAAAGAAAACAGGCCTACACCCAGTTTCGGGAGACCCGTAAAACAACTGAGACCAGCAATGGCTGGCATTTTCCATCATTGTCGGCTGATCTTGTAACAAGCGTATCTATTGCATGTGCTATTTCACAGCCACCCTAGTTGACTATATAGGACGGTAAAAAGAAAAAAGCGCAATCATGTTTGCCTTATTTTATACGCTAATTAACAATGTCCGGGTAATTATGGGACACCCTGTAGCTATGGCAGACATTGAAACTTTTTATGAGGTGAGGTCACTTCAAGTGACCTGGTGACCTGAACTTGAATGACCTTGGTCTGAAATTTCCACATGTGTAGAATTGATGTACGATAAGGTGTACCAAAAACGGCGGCGACCCCCCCCCCCCCCACACACACACTTGGGCGCGGGTTAATCGGCACTTTTCGTCGGTTGGCTCCAGTATCCCAGCGGCTGCCGGGCTGCCACTGTCGCCCCGGCCGGCGCATTCAGGGTCTCTGCAGCGGCGCATTCAGGGTGAAGCCGGCCACACTGCCGGAGCTCTCCAGTACGCTGCGGCGGATGAGCTGCTCCAAGGCTAGCGCGGACCGGACGGCATCACGGTCAGCCTGCTCAAGCTGACGTTCCCTGTCGTCGGCCCCCACCTGCTGCACATCATCAACCGATCCATCGTGGACGGCGTGGTGGCGGTGGAGTGGAAGATGGCAGTTCTGTGACGCCGCTGTTTAAATCGGGTGATATTTTATATGAGAACAAGTACCGTCCTCATGTGTCAGTTTTACCTACTGTGTCGAAGTTAGCCAAGCGCGTCATATGTGACCAATGATGTGGTATGTTGAGAGCTGTGACATTGTGTGCCCGGAGCAGCACGGTTTTAGGCCGGCCCACTTCACGGAGTCGGCCGTGCTTGACGCTGTCAGCTACATATCCGCACACGTTGACAGGGGGCAGGTAGTCTCCCTTATGGTCCTGTTACCCTCGCCCCAGTGGGGGAGGGGGCATATGTTACCACCCTGTCGCGTTTTTTGCGTGTGAATAAAAAACCGCGGCGCGTAGCGCCGCGCCGCTTGGGGTAGCTTTTGGTAAATCAATTTTGGACAATGTGTGAAATTTTTGACCCTAGGTCATGTCAGGTCAGGTCACCAGGTCAAGTTAACTGACCAAGCCTACACAAAAGTTTGCAATCATGTCCAGCCTGCAGTCATTTGTCAGAAAGGTTTCAAACGTGGTGGATTGCATGCTGGTATGGGTGCCTACAATTTGTATATCTCGGATTTTTTATATCCGTGACCTAAGGTCAGGTCAGTGGCGTGACCATTCCATTACAAGTCAATGGAGAAAAATGAAAATGCCTCTAGATCCGTGTGTACGCATAGGAACAGTCCAAACATTTCAGAATCACAATGATTTGGACCACCCGTGATGACCAAGGTGTCATTTTTTCTAATAGACTCTAGAAAGGTCATCCGAGGCTACAAACAGCATTTTGCCAATAACTCGCGATTGGAAAGAGATAGAACGCTGGGCTCTCATTGTGTTTGTCTTGTTGAGACGCATCGACTGATATACAACATGACCTTTTCCGGTCAGGTCATGACCTTGACCTGAGGTCAAATTTTCAAGTTGACCTTTCAAGGTCAACTTTCATTTGACCTTTCAAGGTTCATTCGACGCGTCTCGGCGAGAGGAGCACGATTCTGGCAATAGAAATGTCGTGGCGTTTTGTAGTCGAAAGTTATTGTCGAAAAACACTTTTCGTAAAAACAGCTATTTTTTTAGTTTTTGCCCTCTGGAGGCTAAACCGTTGACCTGAGGTCAATTTTGGTAATGACCTTATCAAAAGAAGAGTTCAAAAGCTATCAATTGCTTTTCAATGCGTTTTTCTAGCTACCATAGTTTCTGAGATAATGGCATGTTTTCTGAAAAATATAATGACAATCGGCAAATTTTGACCTTTGATGACCTCTGGTGACCCCAATATTGCTCTAAGATGAAAAATGACCGAAATACTTTCAAACGTACACATTGCGAGCTATCGAATGCTTTTTACCGCGTCTTTCTAGCCCTCTTAGTTTTTGAGATAGATGTGGGTGGTAACATATGCCCCCCCCCCCCACTAGGGCGAAGTTGGCTGAGACCGCCACTGGGGCGCGGGTTTTAAAGTTACCTGGGTTTTAGGCCGGCCCACTTTTGCTAATCTGGGCAAAATCTTTCTGAGCCCTTACAACATGTTGTAAAATTTTCAGCGGTGGTATTCACTTAGTTATACGAGTAAGAGCGTTACACTCTGGTCCAGGGGCGGCCGAACGACTCTCAAGTCTCAACTGCTTCCCACCTGGCGACGCCTCTCATGTCAATCAGCATGGCCGGCCTTCAGACGGTGGCGACGGCTGGCGGCCGTGCACGCAATGCCCGGAGCAAAGCAGCCAATCGTCGGCGCCGACGTAACCCCTTCTGCCCCCTCCCTCTCCCTGGTACCCTCTAGCCCCATCGAAAGAGGAGTTGATGCCCCTCTTTTTCTCTGGGACCTTGCTTATCAGTTTCCGCCGACCGCCCGGTCCGAATTTCACAAGCTACTAACCTTATTTTCATTAATTGAATGTTTGTGAACCGTCAACCTGAACATAATCAACATTTTTTCGAGGGAGGTTTATTACTGTGTACAATGTGCATGGATACATTTCGAATGACTGTTGCAAATAGTCACTTTTTAATGTGTGTGTGTGTGTGTTTTTTTTTTTTTTGATCGGCGTATCCCGTATATCTCGGTAAGGGGGACGTTTCACCCGTCTCCGATGACCATGACATTAAAAAACCATCGGGAGCCTAAATCAAGCTTTTTATTACATGACAAACGTTGATTTCTGTAATACAAAGAATCGGCTAGAGGAGAAAATCAAAAGCCAATAGTCCTGAGATTACACACAGAAGTTCCCTCTATCGACTACAAAGATCCAGTAGAACAAAACTCACAATTAGATATGTAACGCAACATAAGTAGCGCAGAAACCAATGCTACGCGAGTTAAAAATAGTATCTGCGTGGCTACTGGTTATCAGCATTGTAATCGCACATTTACACAAGATTAACTAACATGGGTGTTACATTTCACCTCAAAGCGTAACATTAAAACATCATCGAAGCGTTCTTAAAAAATAAGTTATCGTAACAATGAAGTAAAGCGGCATTCTAACAGCTGCGGTCTACACTCCGTTCCACAGCCCGCCGTTGTGCCTCACGCCCCTCTAATTTATATTCTAGCATATATGCATAACATATATACATATATAACATATATACTAACATAACATATATACTAACACTGTGCTTTGATGCAAACGCCATATTTCATGATGCATAATAAATACACCAACTCGTTTTGAGATCAAGCTTGGAAAAATAGTTCTTTCATAAACATGTTCATAGACAATCTTCATTATTTATGCATTTTTAATTCCTTGTGTATGCTCGAGTATCACAAGCCGTGACCAATGTGTTAACCCTCGCCGGCACAGGCCATTTTGCGTCCTTCGACGGCACAAGGGTGGTACGCTCCCCTCGCGTTTGGCCCCTGATCGAGCTAGAGCTTCGCGGAAAAAAAAAAACGAGCGTGTTGCCCGTCACGAGAGGAAGCCGATGATACCCAATTTTAAGGTCCTAGATCATCGGGTGACCTTCCAGGTCAGGTCAATGACCCGAAAACCGGGAAAATCGGGATCTGTTAGAAAGTCGTAAAGTGTGGCTGTTATGTGGTTTTCCGGGGTGCTGATCACGAATATCGTGTTAGTTTTGATCAGAGATGATGTCTTCAAGCATTTAGACCAGGTCGGGTCAGGTCAGGTCAGGTCAACCGGTAGGGGTTGTGACGGGTATTCGTAATACGTGTCAACCGCCTCTGACAGCTTCGTAACATGTTACGAAGGCACCAAAGCTACTTCGTAAATGTTCAAATGGTTGCTAAATTCGAATTCAGCTCCAAAAACTAGCCTAGAAACATGTAAAACTCGAAAAATTTGAACCGAGGTCACCCGAGGTCACTAAAGGTCAATGACCTGAGCTGACCTTCAGGTGACCTTGACACCCACCCTAATGTATGGGAGCAACATCAAATCACATGTCTGAACGTTTAAAACCACGAAAAGCTTGCAAACGCGCGGCTAATGCGAGCCGACATACGCCGAATCGCGATTCCGGCCAAACATGGTCTCGGAAAAGAGGTCACAGGTCAAAGGTCATTTGGGTCAGGGTCATGAAATTTTCAGGGTAGGTGTAAAATTTATCAATGCTAAAGTACTGAAAGTTTCGTCGCGATCGGCCGCTTTTTACGCGAGCTACCTATTCACGAAAAACCTTAGGGGAGGGGGGGGGGTCATCACCCCCCCCCCCCTGTGCCGGCGAAGGTTAATAAAATGCGTTGCTTTCACGGAGATAAAACCTTCTTTGACACCATTTAGCACAGCACTCATGGTTCGGGGCGTTCAGATATTCAGTTTCAGCTCTTCACAGAGTGAGGGCGACGGCTGCGCTCAGGGTAGTGAGGGTGGCAGCCAACTGCAGCAGCAGCAGAGACGCTACAGCCGCTGTTGCTGACGACTGCGGTCCCGAGGCCGCCGCCTCCTGCCCGTCACGCTGGGGCTTCATCTCCAGAGCCGCCTCGTCGAGCGGTCGGCGCTCAAACACTTGTCGGCCGTACGGCAGCTGAACCAGCCGGTAGTTGTGGCCGATCGGTCGGCTCCGGAGGCCCGTCAGCGTCCGAAACCGAGCCATCTGCCGCACACATCAGTCACCCGTCACCGGCGGTAGGGACGCCGCAGCTTCAAAATGCTGAGTGGCAAACGATTCAACAGCTAAATAGCAATGCTTCCATAAACTCAGTAGTCATTTGATACATGAAACCTGAATTATTAACGAATCATTAACTGAATTATTTACGAATATAAGCAGGGCTGCGGAGTCGGAGTCGGTCGGAGTCGACAGTTGTGACCGGAGTCGGAGTCGGAGTCACCGAAAATCTGTCGACTCCGCAGCCCTGCTAGGTCTGCGGAGTCGGAGTCGGGAGTTGGAGTCGGTCGGAGTCGACAATTCTGCCCGGAGTCAGAGTCGGAGTCGGAGCTGGTTTTTGAAAGCCGGAGCCGGAGTCGGAGTCGGAGTCGCCGAAAATCCATCGACTCCGCAGTCCTGAATATAAGCAAATTAAGTGAATACCGATCAATTATGCCCTACTTGCACCCTCTGTGCATGCATGAGACTTCCCGAACTAAAATCATGGCTAAAACCTACCTGTTGTTCAGTGGCCTGGACGGGCTGCTTGAAGATAGTCCAAGTGACGACCTCGTAGCAGCCTGGCGTGGTTAGGGAGCCCTCGTAGCGGTAAAAGTGTCCGAGATCGTTCGGCATCAGCTCCAGCAGGCTCGGTGGCTCGGAGAGTAGGGTGGAGGCGCCACCGGCTCTGATGCGGTCCAGGGCCGGAGAGAGACGCATCAAACCACTGTTGGGAGACGGGCCCACCTGGAAATGGTACAGAAAACTGTCAAATAGTGGTCATGTCGGTTGGTAATCATGCAGAAACTGACAATCTGTATCCACAAAGCATAGTAAGCAGCCATGTTGAATCTTCTCAAAGGTCGGAAAAAGACCATGAATGTGTTCGTAATCACATCCTACCTCAAACCAGACTGCAAGGACTGCCAGTCCATCGGGTCGCTGGGTAGCCTTCGTCAGGGAGTCATACTTGGTGTTCTGGCACAGAATGTGCATCTCCAACGGGTAACTGTCAAAGGAATAGCCGTCAAATCGACTGAAGATATAGCGATTTCTTTTTGTCAGCGGGGCAAAGCAGTCCGGTCTCTCTCTCTCTCTCTCTCTCTCTCTCTCTCTCTCTCTCTCTCTCTCTCTCTCTCTCTCTCTCTCTCTCTCTCTCTCTCTCTCTCTCTCTCTCTCTCTCTCTCTCTCTCTCTCTCTCTCTTCTTTTACTAGTCATAATGCAACAAACTAATTGTACTTATAGTGCATTACAGACATTGACGCAAAAAGGCCACACCCCATTGCCACATATTCCTCTCAGCCCTCAGCGTACGTTTAACTTCTCCCGAAAACAGCCGAGACAGGACTGCGGTATGCTCTCGAACCTGTGTCCGTCCAGATGATGCTCCGAGCCGACTGTGTCGTTCTCGCCCCAGTGGAAGTGGAAACCGACCACGCTGTACTCGCCATACAGCGAGCCCGCCCTCACCAGTGGCACGTGTCCAGAGGTCAAGGCCACCAGAGCTGACGAATGGGACACCAGCTTAGTCACATGGCTATTGGCTACACTCGTCTAAGAAAGGAACTTCAGTTGAGGCTAAAGAAGTAGGAAACGACTGCAACAATTGATGTCCGACACACAAAAGCAAGACTTTTTCCGGATGATATCGGACACCCTCAAAACACTTTTCTTTGTGACAATTAAATCAGTCTAACCAAGCATGCATGGAAATCATTTGGCATCAACTCCATCATAGGCCTCTGAACACCGAGAGCTATACAGAGGTCGACTCCATGCAAGGTACCCGCGCAGAAATACGAGTATCAAGTGAGAGAGCTGTTCATAACGCAAAAGACGTCATGCTCACCACCGACGTAGTTATTGGTGACGTTGGCGCTAAGAGGCGCGTGGTCGAAAAAGTGCAGCTCCAGCGGCTGAAGGTGCTTCTGCTGCACCGACTTCGAGTGGATGTCGATGGGCGACTGCTGGTGGTGGTCGCATTCCTTGTAGCCGAGGCGGCTCCATTGGCTGGGACCTGACGGAGAGTGAAGGTAATAATTCGTTTTGGGGTGTTGTTGAGTTGTTTTGGGTGTTATCCATGCGCGCAAACGCGCAGCTTATTATCTTTGAGAACAAGTTTGAGAAGGTACATATTGCTGTGATTGTTGTCTGCAGAATTGCTGTAAATAGTTGTCATTTTTTAGCCTTTTGACACCTTTTGCATCGATTTCATTTATTTCGTATTTATCTACATTAACCAATGTTATCTAAACAACGTACTTTCTCCGGTAGTCGTTTAGGACCACAAGTCAGACGCGTGATCTACAACGTGCACTCCTTTTTCACGGGGCAAAAATACCAGCAACTGGGAGTTCCCGAGGCAAGCGTTCTGCCCATACCTGTCGCCAAAGAGACCAGTAAAGCGACATGAGTATCGACAAGGACAGTCGAGGCGATTGTCAGACCGTTAGTCAGAAGGTGCAGCAGGTGGCTGTTTCACCAGTCCGGAGAGGAAAGCTGCTCCAGGATCTGAGCAGGGTGCTGATCCAGCGCGTTGCCGTGATGGATGAATTCGAATTCGGCGTCATGGCGCGACGTGGGTGCTTCGGAGGGCTACGACCCGAGTGAGTGCGCCGTTACATTTGCGACATTTTAGGACCTATAAAGGTACAAAGGTTCATGCATGATGTCGTAGGTCCTTGACCTGACCTGAGGATGCGGTTGATGATAAAAGATCCGGATTGAAGCAAGGATCGGTATGCTAGCTTTCAGCTCTCTATCGCCTGCGTGTTCCGAGCTATCGCAAGAAAAACCTTACGGAGGGTGCTACCTCCCCTCAGCCAACTAGGGTTAAATCTGCTAGTCAACACTTTTATCATGCATGTGTAAGCATACGGTCAACAAGCTCTCTAGCAATGACAAGAATCATGTTAATCGAAAATGTCTGAATGACTTGATTGACCCCTCCCTATTGCCTCTGTACAGCAAGATAGCTGTCGCTATAAAGTGTCTTGATTTTCTACTTGCCATCACGTGCGAGCTGCCGAAAGAAATCTGACCGCAAGCTTGATATGGAACAGAGTATTCCTAGTTGCCGCCGCACAGCAGCTCGCTTTGTAATGTCGCGCGTGAGCAATAGTCACGAGATTATTAAAATTGATGCATTTTGTGTCAGTTGAAAAGGTAGGGCTGGGTCCCGCTGGGAATTTGTGTGCTTAAAAAATATCGTTATCGTCTTTCGATATTCGTACTTAAATAAATAATATCCCGTATAATATGAATGTCTTTCGTTAATCGTTTCATCTAACCTTTTGGTCTTTCGGATCGTCATGAGGCCGTAACAATATTCGTTAAAAGTGCGCATGTGCTCCCCTTATAGATCTCACACTTTCACAGTCTGTTTACATGTTTTTAAGCGTTTTACTTACCATTGCTTCCTTCATACGTCCAGTCCTGCTCTGTAAAAAAATAGGGCACCTTGTCGGAACGGTAAATAGGGCTTAAACACAATACACTGCGATGCAACAAGACGCAAGATGCAAGAAAAAAAAACAGACAGCACACTGCTAAAATTGGCACGATAATGAGCTCAATAGATTTATTCGATTGCAAGAATATCTGAGTGAATCACAATTAATGTAGGTAGGTATTCCGGTGCAATAGGCTTCTGGAGGTCACGATTGGCTGGATAGGTGCCGTCACAGATAACAGTAGTACTGTTATCTACTACTGTAGTAGTACTACTGTTATCTGTGGTGCCGTCTATAGCTATTTATAGTCACCGTGGTGCCGTTTGTCATAGCTGCTCCACTCAAAACCGGGGCGCATAATACCTACGCACGTTCGCTGGCGGATCCAGGGGGGGGGGGGGCAGGGCCTAAAGCCCCCCATTCGAAACTCGACAGGGGCGGCAATATAAATAAGCCCAAATGCACCGGGATTGGTCATCAAAATGAATACCAGCGACGTGATCGACGCGTTTGCGACATCTGGCGCCCGACGTTTGAACATGAAACAGAAACTCCAGTGAAGTCAACGGCAAGACGATACCTTTTAATTCATGGTTAATATCCTGCTGAACATTGTATCTGAAACTGATTATAGCTCAACATTTTCCCTCAAAATTGATTCATCAAATAAGACAGAAGTGCTTGAATGACTCTATTTCAGCTATGAGCATTTGGCGCTGAAATACGCATAAACATACATGCCGCAACGAGACAGTAATTTTTTTCTAGTTGGTCATTCATTAAGGACGGGAATCGACTTATCTCTATAGATGAATGATAATTAATCGTAGTTTCCTGCTGCGGTCATCATGATGGCCGATTCGGTTTATTTTTCTTTTCAAGTGTCCTCCTTCTCTGTCTGGGACGCACTGATCCTTCCCATCTCGGTTGTTGGCTTTCTCGACCTCAGGTGTGTCCTGCCACTCCTCGCTTCCCAGTGTCATTTTTGCGAAGCGTTCATTTGATTTGATGGATTGGTTTTACGGCATTACTAATATACATATTTGTACGTGCTACATCTTATTGAACCCAGGAGTCAGATGGGGAAATTACAGCAAATTTAGGCCCTCTCCCCCAAACTGGATGTCTGGATCCGTCAGTGGCCCGATACCTGTGTCTCCGAGGACTCTCACAACTTGCGCTTGTAAAAGCCTTTACCAGTGACTGTTAGAGCCCCACACGGGCACTTCTGAGGGCCCTACGCCGCCGGCTCTGAGCCCTACCAGTGCCTCTAAGGACTCCGAGGATCCCACAATGTATTTCTGAATATATGTTTATATTTTCCGAATAAAAGTTTAGCTTTCGTTGTATTCTCGAAAAGCCGCAAAATATCCTGGATTTCGGGCAACGCGGGGGTAATGCCCCCTCCCCTCACCCTGGATCCGCCAGTATGGTCAGGTGGCCTACCATTAAAAAAAAAATCATCGTATTCGGGCAGTAAAGAAAAACAAGTGGCCTAAATCGGATGAGAAAACAGGATTTGGGGGTACCCTAGGTTTGGCTCCTTCCCTGGTTTGCCCCCCCCCCCCCCTTCCAGCGCTCAAGCCCTGGATCCGCCAGTGCATACGTTTGCACTTTGTTCTGACTGAAACATCTTGGAGACGGGACAGGCAGCGTGAACGTAGCGTCTGGCCTAAATCTCTCTTGATCTCTGAGAAAAACCCTTTGCCTGGATGGCACAGGGTGGCAATGTGGAGCGTCCAACTCCTCTATCTTTTACCATGGTCACAATCTAAGTGCATCATTGAACATAGGGCCACTTAGCATAGCTAATTTACTCATAACGAGCCTAAAGGTGGCCGCACACTAGGCCATTCGGCGGGCGGGATTCCGCAAAAACGGAATTCTTTTCGGCGTATATAATATTACTTTTTGAATAGCCAGTTAAGTGCATGGAGCCATTAATTGCGAGGAAAGAAATGACATTACGGCTTTCTTATCAAATAAAAGTCTATTTCTCGGCCACACCATCAATAGTTAGTGAGTATCAAGTTCCACAATATCGGCTTTCCGCGGTGAAGTCGCGAAAAAAGCTGAACCAGTTCAATTTTTTCGCGATTCCGCGGCTGTCCGCGCGCATGCGCACTCTGTCCGTGAACAGCTGGCTGCCGACCCTTCACAGCCACATTTTTCGTTTCGGCGGTTGGTTCGGCGTCCGCGGAGGCGTAATGTCGCCTACGGAATTTGGCTTTTGCGGAGTCCCGCCCGCCGAATGGCCCAGTGTGCGGCCGCCTTAAAGGTGTTACCATAGATAACATGAACTACCATAGATAACATGGTAGTTCATGTTATCTATGGTGTTACCTATCAATAATTTCGATGATCTAGGCATATTCAACAATTATCGTTTCACTCACCAGCTAGGCAAAGTGCCACTCCCAAAACCAGCCCGGCGAGCGCACCAGGCCATGGTGACGACATCACCACTGGTGGCGGCCCACTGCACCGCACTGACCTCGCAGTCAACAGCAGCCCTGTGGAGCTGGTATCGACCGCTGCCACCGCCCAGCGCGCGCGCAGTCGCCGCCGGACGCCAGGCTGCAGATGCCACTCGATAGATGGCGCCGCTCACCAAAGGAAACTGTAAAGATGACGCTACAAAACGAGTTAATGAAGTCCTGAGGTCAATGCGTAGTATGAAATAAAATCAGTGCCGTATCAGTATTGCATTCCTAATTTTCAGCCGATTCATGGCCCATCCACAGTCAAAAAGGGGCCGGATGACGCATGTCCACAGTACGCGCGTAGTATTATTTTAACGAGAAGCTGCTTTATTTGAGTTAGTACCTACCGTGCGTCACGCGCTGTCGCATACAAGCTTCACCAGGTCCTGAGATAACAATCTGCAACAAGTGATAGGCGCCACGTTGCTTCGCTGTCTCCCTCGTCTCAGTATCCATTGCTGCTTAGTGTTTAGGCTATCGTAATGCTTGGAGTGCTTACACGTCAACGTAGCGAGTCGAAACAGCTGACATGCACTCTTCTAATGGATCAACTGCCTACAGAGAGGTGGCACTGTTTTGAAGGAGGGTGTGGTGTAGGCGCGCAAAATGTCGCTACTTATTAATGCATTCGATTAGAGATGTTTTTATTTATTGTGGAGCGTGATTAGTCACGAGAAGTTGAAAATGTGTTTAATGTGGTTGATTCATTCCAAGGCCATATTATATTCCTGATTTTTGCTTCCTTATAACTCAGTTTTGTTTTCTCTAATACGTCTTCTCTAATTTACACATTAAATTAAAATTTATTATTACATGGCTCCTGTGTTAATTTGACATGAGATATTTTTTACTATTGCCCGACATCAGGTTACTGACCTTTCAGTGTCAGGTTACTGACCTTTCTGAAGGTGAGAAGCGGTTGCCATGTCAACGGTCAATAGTAAGTTGCTCGCGCAGTGGTGTTTGAACAAAAATTCAAATGTCGTAATTTTATTGTCGTTTTCTCAGACTGTTCAGTTTGATTTCGTGATTGGCTAGTCAAGTCATCAAGAACTGGGCCGTCATTTGAACATGTCCGTTCAAATTCCCCAATTTAATTTGTTGGAGCCGCATGAATTGGATGAGCTATTTTCATCGCGCAGGGCTCAGGGCACTAAAAAGGTGATTAAATCAGCAGAAGACGTCTTCATTGAGTTCTTGCAAGTAAAAGGCATATCTGTTGAAAGCTGCATGCACAGCAACGATGTCCTGGACAGTGGACAACGCTGTGAAGGAGTTCTTCATTACTGTAAAACCCAAGGACGGTGAACGCTACAAATCGAAGAGTCTCCACACTCTCAAGTACGGCGTGAAACAGTAGGTACCTGTTGACGTCGATGGGAAAGGATATCAGCGATGAAGGGAATATCACAGGCTGCATCTTCAACTTTAACATGTAAAGCAGCTAAGTGTGTGCCGTAGAATGTGACGTGGGTATGATTGTATATCCAATACATTCAATTGTACCATGATATTTGTGTTTGGATATTTTTATTACGGGATGAATGAGTACTAAGTAAAGATTTCGAGAGTTGGCCATGTAATAAAACGAATACTGCATGGGGGAGCGGCAATAGCAAAAATATTGCCCTCTGTAACGTCACTGTCGCCCTCGGGTGAAGACCTCCACAAGTGATATTGCCCTCGGCTTCGCCTCGGGCAATAGCACTTGTTTCGGTCTTCACCCTCGGGCGACAGTGACGTCACATCGGGCAATATTTTTTGCTATTGCCCGCTCCCCCATGCAGTATTCGTATAATGTTTGCATTAAATTTTACTTGAGTGCGTTATGTGTATTGTATTCCTGATTATGAGCCGATTCACAGCCAAAAAGGAGCCGGCACAGGAGGCTGGGGTGCACGTAGAAGCGCGTGAGATGAACCAGCCATGTACCCCTCGGATTTGACCCATTGAGGATCTGCGGAGGCTCATCAAACAGAACGTGTATAAGGGAAGGTGACAGGTCCCCTGTGACGCACAGTTGATACAGAGAATACAGCAGGTCATCCGTGACATTTACTCGGAGGCACCGCGAAAGACTATAGCGAGGCTGCCAGAGTGCGTGCACCTGGCGGCTGACAGAGGTCCGATGTCGCAGATCCACCAAGCTGAGCATGATCACAACATAATAAATGCACAATAGCACGATTTTTGTTGTTTCTGCTTGAAAACTTTCAGCACAGTAACGATTTAAACTTTGTCCAGCTTAATACTGACCACCCGTTATTTAAGACCCGACACGAGGTGTACTACATACACTTTCAACACTCTGTGTGCGCCAGAAGTGGCGCTGGCCGTCGCCTTCAGCGGGATCGCAGCCACCCTGCTGGACGGCGGTCGAACCTTCCACTCGAGGTTTAAAGCACCGCTGTAGGTGACTGCCACATCCACCTGCAACGTGTCGGCGCAGAGCCCCCTAACCGACCTGGCTCGCCGAGCCAGGCTAATCATCTGGGACGAGTATAAATAAATCCCAGATGGGACATCTGGGATTTATTTGCTGTTCTTGCAATAGGAATTGTAAACAAAAACAATCATTCAAGGCCATAGAAAGCAGAAAGCACTGCAATAATTTGTTTACTTTGACCTTGCTTTGACCAAGGCCATACATCAATATAAACATATCTTTGTTTCTTCATTAGTTTCCTTAACATAATTTTTCAGTTTTGATTTTCCTCTGTTGTTTCAAATCTTGGTTTCAAATATGATAAGAGCCTCTCAGAGAAACAACAAGCTGCCGATCTTCCGTCTCTTGGTGGAAAAGATACATGTAAGTACCTCAACCTATATCAATAGGGTGACCAAGGTGCCTCACCTCACCTTGGTTGAAAACCTCTGTGTGACGTTTGCACTAGTAATACCAACTGGAACACGTCAACTTGTTAACGGTCAAAGGTTCCCTTATGTATAAAGTTACGTAGCTATCTGTCCGTTGACATGTTAATCTAACAAATCACTTGCGGTTAAAAGTATTACCATACTCATTTCATATTTGTTACTGTATTGAAAAGAGGACATCCATGTGTTTCCCCTCCGTCTGTCTCCAATCAACAAGGTATATATTATAACATAAAGTAGGTATTCAGCAACAATGCATTTTTACGGTTTACAATGTATCAGTATGGAGTGCTTCATACCTTTTAAGTGCCTAATTCGTATTCAAAAGTTATTTCAAAATAAAAAGACAGGAAATATGATTCATATTCATACCAACGATGACCAAAACAACGGGTGATGTCAAACGTCATGCAGCTCAGAGCAACGCAGAATTTTGTGGGATATCAAGAACATGAAAAATTACTCGAGTGTAAAATGCATCGCTTTATGAAACCGATCTGCTGCATTTCTCTCCAAAAACAGCTGTTGGGCATAAAAGTCGACGTAGTAAAATTTCGGTCGCAAAATACAACCCCGTTTTCTTTATGAAACCGCTAGGGCATAAAATCCGGCAAAAACGGGTGGGAAATTGCGCCGGTTGTATTTTACTACCTTTTATGAAATCGGCCGCTGCAAGCCAGCCCCGGGGCTGCACAAGCACAAACCGCCGAGTTCGCCCAGTGACTGCTGCACCGGCGAAGGTCGTCTGCCAGAAGACGCCAACGGCGACATCCAAACGCTAAAACCTGACGAAGATATCATCATGTCCAAGTGTGAAGAAACCATCAAAGACGTTCTGAAAGCCTTGGAGGTCAACTCGGTGACCAGAGTTATCGTGCTAGGAGTCTATGACCCATCCATCCGAAGGTGATGGCTGCTGAAGGTGTGGAAGCCTACAAGACTTTAGAGAACCGCTATGCAAAGGTCACGCAAAACCTGGGCCATTACCTCGTGGACCCAGTCCGTCTACTAAGTGATGAAAGAGGTCGTAAGAGAGAGCTCTGTACACGAAAGCATGTTCAGGGAATATATTTGCTTTATTGTAGGACATAATAGCGGTTATTTGAAGACCACTACATATTATCGCTATTGTAATGTCCTTGAAGATCATACCCGTGCATACTATTTTCGTGCCATTTGGATACCATTTTTATTCCGTTGGGCAATATTATTCAATTAGATAATGGAGGCAAGGGATACAGCTCGCGAAACACCAACAGCGAGGCGCAGGAGGCTTGATAACGAGAGTAGTCAGCGTCAACGCGAAAATCATCGCCACCAGCTGCGAGACCTGTCCCGGCTGGGGTGCGAAACAGTGGACGCAAGTGAGAAGAGGGAGAGCTCGCGAGTCGCAACGACGCTGCGAGGAGGGCATACATGAACATAACCAACAACAACGATCCCAGCAAATTCAATTCAATAGCATGGGTGAAACGCTCCATCAGTCTCTGTCCCTGCCAGTGCCACTGAAACGACCTGCCGGGGCTGACCGGCGAACAGCTACAGGCGCTGCAGACACAGCTGGAGGCACTTCGGCTCCTCGTCATCGACGAAATGTCGATGGTGGGGAGAAAACTTCTGCGCGCCGTGGACCTGCGCCTCCGCCAGGCCTTCCCACGCCACTCCTCTGAGCCCTTCGGTGCAGTGAGCGTGCGTCTCATGGGAGACTTCGGACAACTGCCTCCCGTCATGGATCGACCAATGCACGACTCAAATAGCCAACATTTAGTTGGCTATTTTTTCCATATGTATAATCTTCCCTAACACGACATAATTGGCGCAAACATTTCAAAATAAAACCTTCCGACGAAGTTACTTTTGCGGTGGTTTGGTGCAAGAGGAATTGGCTAAAATCGAGTGAAGTGGGGCGAGTTTTCTGGTTAAAACTCCACATTGTTTACCTTTTCTACCCCACTATTGCAGAGAAACTGGGTAATGATTAATGACTGACGTGACGCCACGACGTTTGCAAGACAAACTACCAGCACACCGGTCCCAAAAGCACTTGTCGCCAGGTAACAACCACATGAAGACGATCCCGAAGCCCAGGTATTTGTGAACACCACTCTGAAGACAGGCGTTGCATACATCAGCAAACTGTAAGCACGGCAGGATG